ATTTTGAATGGTATTAATTTGTCGATGCGAGAATCTTCACTTCTGCCTAGAAATATATAATCAAAGGTCGTCGACCGAGATGTCGATGCGCAAACGGATCGTCATTAACAACAGTAAATGACCTTTGGTCAGTTATCATCAAGCTCTTTCTGAAGAAGATGGACAAATCCTTGCCATATAACCTTCTCGTATTATTCCTTACGCATACATTTCTGTAAGGATTCCGTATGTGTGTATCCGATTACATAAGGGAAAATACTAATATTGTCATTTGTTAGTATGTGCAACCACCTTAGCAATCACTTTTCTCTATATACCTGAATAAGTAACAATCTCTTTATCGGATGGCATCCCATCGACATGCGATGCTACATAATAGATAACCAATCAATTATTAACAAAACCATGAAAAAATTGCAAGAAATACGGAATAACATTTCCTTCGGGTTCGTTTCATTGGAAGTTCCTTGTTAAATATTATAATTCTCTATTATTAAAATATAATTAATGAAAAACAGTTCAAAATCAATAATTTAAGATATTGAAATTTCAGTAATTATATAAATAAAAATAAATCTTAAAAAAATTATCGGTGACCTTTTTTACAATCTAAAATACTAAGTGTCTAAATTATATTTGAAGATTTGAAAACATTAAATTATTTTCTTTAATAAAAACATGAAAATAAATTGTCTTTAAATTTCCGTAAATCTTTCTGACCAAATTCACTTCATATAAATAAATTCAATCATAAAGGAATAATTATCTAACATATATGTACGCGGGGGTTTGGGGCGTTATTCTGCATTTTTAACAAAAAGTTATGTATTTCTGGATCTGGAATGATTACAAGAAAAAAGCTGAATCATACAATTTGAATGTTTGGTCAGAGGTGTTTATTATTTGTCGAAGTGAACCGTCATCGAGACAAGACCCCGTCATCGAGACAAGACCCCGTCATAAAATGGCCATCAAACAATGAACTTACGAGCAATGGTTTGCCAAATCAAAATGTAAACAACGGATGGTGTGGGTGGGGGATATATTTATCCCTACATGATACTGAGTAGCGAAAGAAAAACATCTAATTAGCTTGTTAAAGGGTCGCTTAGCGGGAAATATTGACACGCTCATCAATATGAGAGGGACATAATCGGATTCAATTCGTGCCTATAAGCGGGCATCTAGACGCTAAACAAGTCAACCAATAGTGTTCATAATGTTGTACAGTGTATTTTGCAAACTCTACAATCCCACTAGAGGAGAAATACCGATGTTCAATAATATTTTCGTTCTTACAAACGAAAATGTAAGCGTGTAAGGTTAAAACCTACTTTTATATACCAATGGTTGTAACCAGTAGGACCGTAAGTGCAACACATGTACAACAGTCGTATCATCCCTGAGTAAAGTACAAGAGAACCTGACGGAGACCATCCCAGTTCGCCTTGGTTTTGAATTCAGAGTATTCCTAGATAGGTTGACCTACCAAGGCTAAAAAACGTAATCTACCCTATTATTTCGGGGTTTAAATTCAGACATGTGCTTCTCCGAAACTGGTTGACATTCAAGGCAAGAGAGACTAGACTTTTCAACCAATATCTAGGTTAAACGATTTTTGTTCCCAAGATTATCACTGAATGAAACAGATTTGTTCAGAATTTGAACTCGGTATGCTGATTCCATTTGACGTATCGATAACTCCTACGCCACTCGCATGATACTACTTCCCGTAATTGACTTAAATTTCACGACGTTGCTTCAAGAAAGACGGAGATAAAATTCCGCACTATATTCTGTACGCGTGGGTTGTCCAAATTCCTGAAATTTTTGCACATTATTATATATATATATATATATATATATATATATATATATATATACAGTGTTACATTAGAGCATGCAAATACCCACTACAAAATTGTACATCTTGTTTCAACGTTAAAAACGAAAACTTTTTTAACGTTTCATCAGTTGGGTAATCACGATCGGGTGCATGTACATATTCTAATGTAACACTGCATAATAAATAAATATTTACAGCCCTACTTTTGTATTGAGCTTTGTTTTAAATTAATGTTTTGAACTCTGAAATCATACTCTTCGTTCTTTTACATTTGGATGCATACATACAAACGTACACACACACACACACACACACACACACACACACACACACACACACACATATATATATATATATATATATATATATATATATATATATATATATATATATAGGTCTAGGTCCTCCTCCTCCCACAATATAAAGTATACTTGAGAGAGATATGAAATTAATCCCTCCCTATACTCTACCATGTCTATTTAACTATCCCTCTTACACTCTCTGTTAAATTACAAAAACTTACACTACCGATCAATTTTAATTTCATTTTTCGTTTCATTTCGTTGTTGGAAGTGCTATCAGATAATCCGGTGTCCTTTAAAAGGATTCTGGTGAAATAAATTATTATAATGGTACCTTAAAGTGGTCTGTTTTTCTTTTATATATATATATATATATATATATATATATATATATATATATATATATATATATATATATATATATTTCAATGTTTATATATATTTCATGGTTATAATTTATTACATTGGAATCATAAGCACGATCCAATTCATCAGTCCTAGAAATTTGTTTACGATTCCAATGTAATAAATTATAACCATGGAATATTAGTGTTTGAGCCTTATATATATATATATATATATATATATATATATATATATATATGTGTGTGTGTGTGTGTGTGTGTGTGTGTGTGTGTGTGTGTGTGTAACTTTAAACGTTATTATTGGTGAAAACTCGTATTTGAGTAGATGTTCCGTATATATATTAAACAGTATATTTATTTATTTTCAGCTGCCAGATTGAAATTTAAAAAAAAAACAAGAAAAAAGCGCGATCTTTGGAAGGAAACAAAGCTGCATTGCCTCAGCTTAAAGAGCCGCCGTTTAACTTGATAAGCGTTGGGCGCGATGCTAAATATTTTTCTGCTTTCAATCAAAATTTATTAGAATGATTTTCTTTGTAATCCGACAGATTTGTATCACTGCAAAAAAAAAACAAAAAAAAAAAAAACCTTATGTTTGATGGATGCTCGTATTTGAGTAGTCGCTCCGTTCATATATCAAACAGTACATTTATTTTCATCTACCAGTCTGAAATTTAGAGAGATCTTATCAATTCCTTGAATAATACGATCCTTATATTTAAGGACAACTGATATATAAGGATCTTATTATTCAAGAAATTGATAGTAAGTTAATGTCTCATAAATCTTGTTAGCGAAGTGATTTCGACATTATTCTCATTAACATTGCTAATTAATTAATTCTTTTGTATAAATTATTACTTTATGATATAATATAAAAGCTGCACATTCTAATATATATATATATATATATATATATATATATATATATATATATATATATATATATAATAAACAATAAAATCCAAAATCACCTCATAATAATAAATACATTGAGCACTTTTTGTGGATTAATATTTGATATTACTAGGATCCACTTGGATTATATACCAACAGATTTCTTACCTTTACCATATATATATATATATATATATATATATATATATATATATATATATATATATATATGTATGTATGTATGTGTGTGTGTGTGTGTGTGTGTGTGTGTGCAGTACGGCTTGTTATTTCCACTTTTATTCGCGCAAATACTCACAAATACATTAACGCCACGTTAAAGTTCGTAGCTGTTTTTTTTTTTAAGCTTATACAAAACAACTTGTGGTGAAAAGAAAAAAAAAACAACCAGGAAAATGAAAAAAGATTAAAAAAAAAAAAGTAAAGAAAAGAAAGAAAAAAAATTCGTAAGCGTAAAACTACATTCAATATGGATCCAAAATGGAGAGGAAAAGGGTGGGATGGGCAGGTGTAGGCATGAAGATAGACTTGTCCCATTGTGAGCCTCCTCTCCTTACCAAAATACGTGAAGCAAAAAAAAGAAACAAAAAAAAAACATAATAATAATAACAAAACATTTTAACTCTTACCCCCCTACCTTTCACTAATTGGTAGTATCTATTGTTGTTCTATGTAGAACTCTTTGATACGGGAGGCATGTGAAAGACACCAGACGGCGCTACTAAATGCAGAGGTGGAGGGAAGAGGTTGTAAGGTAATGAGAGGAGACGAGATTTCGCCCTCCTCTTCCCGTTCTCACTCCTCCCACTTCTTATCATGGATAGTCATCATCGTCTGCTTTCTCTTCTATCGTTTTCTTTATCATTCTCCATAACCATTTCTACTATTGATACTGTTTCTTCTTCATCGTCTTGCACCACCTCCGCCACCCCCTCCTCCTCCTCCTTTTTCTTCTTTCATTCGTTGCTTTATAAAAGGTTTTCTTTGGGTGAATTCGCGAGATGAGACCTCCGCATTTTTATGTAATGCTTATTGTGTGTGTGCGTTGTGGAGAGAAAAAAAATCTAGAAAATTTATAGGTGGTGAAACTAGAGACACTATATATATATATATATATATATATATATATATATATATATATATATATATATATATATGGACAGATTAGAAAGAAAGAAAGAAAGAAAGAAAGAAAGACATGAACAGATTAAGAAAGCAAAAAAAAAAAAATAGATATGAATAGATTAAGAAAGAAAGAAAGAAAGAAAGAAAGAAAGGTAGATAGATTAAAAAAGGTTATTTGGATAAGCATAGAAACATTTTACTTTTCAAAAAAGATATGTAAGCCATCGTGTTTTGAAAGCAAACAGTCGAAAACTGATTTTCATTGGATTAATTCAACAACAACGTGAAATAAGTAAAAATCCTCGAGTGTTTTGCCATTGGAGTTGGTCATCGATCGAGCAAGTAATCGTTAGATCAGAACAGAAATTGATAGATTGATAAGGTAGATATAAACTCAATCGAGAGAAACGAATTATTTTTTCTGCCAGTTGACAGCACATTTTCAACTTCCTATGTTATAGATAGATATACAAATAAGAACAGTGATAGATAGATAGATAGATAGATAGATAGATAGATAGATAGATAGATAGATAGATAGATAGATAGAAATAAACTGACATAGATAGATAGAAACAGATTGAGATAGAAAGGTAGTTAGAAATAGACTGAAATAGATGGATAGATAGGTCGATAGACAGAAACACTCAGATAGATACAATCAGACTGAGATAGCTAGGAAGAAAGAAAGAAACAGATAGATAGATAGATAGATAGATAGATAGACTGAGATAGAAAGATAGATACAAACAGACTGAAATAGATAGATAGGTCGATAGAAAGAAAGACCCAGATATATACAATCAGACTGAGATAGAGATAGAGAGAGAGAGAAAGGGAGAGATAGAAACAGACTGAGAAAGATAGATAGAAAGAAACAGATTGAGATAGATAGAAACAGACTTAGATAGATAGATAGATAGAAAGAAAGAAAGAAAGAAAGAAAGAAACAGATTGAGATAGATAGATAGATAGATAGATAGATAGATAGATAGATAGATAGATAGATAGATAGATAGATAAAAAGAAATAGACTCACAAACAACCCCAGTTTTTCTAGATACCTGAGTTAATTGTATATTTCTGAAGCCCATTGGCAAACCGGGTTCAATCCCTAGTAACAAGTCAAAATTTCGAATCGTGACATTCAAGAGAACCCTCCTCTGTACAATCCTTATAGAATTCCCCTCTCTTCCCATTTCTCTTTTCGCCCACTTAAGCTCTCAACTTAAATAAATATCTATAAGCAGACTAAAACAGCTCGGTCGATATAGACAGATCGATATAGATATATAGGGGATTAAGAATGGGATCGATATGCTCGCCTGGTCGGAGCAGACTCATTTTGAGAATTGCTTAAATAGTAACACCGTTATAAGCGTGCTGGTCACGCAAGAACCAGTTTTAAGCGATACAAAGAAACGGCTTTTAAAGTGACAGAAGCGGTGTGCTTGGTAGCACGTACACGCACACGAAACTGCGCACTCTCAGAAAACGGAAAACTTTACGGGAAATATATTTATGAAATTTTCAGGAGGCTGATACTAGAATGCATTTTGTAGATTACGTAGCGTGTTATCAATGGATTTTTTTTTCAGCCGATCTCACTAACCGTCATTTGAAAGCATTTACCCAATTTTTCTCTATTTTTCGCTTATTCTTTGACATCTGATCTGAGAATAGGTCCGGTGAAGACAACCAGAGTTATCTCCTCCTTCGAAATACGCTACTGTAAAAAGTGAGGGTCGAAATACACATATTTTTTTAAGACAATTCACCCCAAGCAAGACAGGAGTGTCACTAGCACGCAAATGGTTACAAACGATTGAGAACAAGAGTAATGAGCGTGTTTGAGGAAAGGATACAAGCTCGTAGTATTCAGTCGATTGATATTACACTTGAATATTTGAAGATTATAGTCATCGGGGAAGCAAGTAAGGGGAAGGGAGTTCCACAGAGGGGAAGTGCGGGAAAATAAGCTGTTTGAGTATATGAGACTTTTACATTTACCCGTTTTGACAGTGAAAGGGTGGGATGCCAGCTTGGTAGCTCGCTTAAATTCATTGTAGTCCGGGAACCAGCGAAAGAAGTTCGTCGGAACAGTTGCCGTGAAAATACTTGCAGAAAAGACAGATGTGTGTGGGATAGCGATTGTAGACTAGATGCCAGATCAGGACCTATTATCTTGCATATTCGTCTCTGGAGCACCAGAGCATATATCACAGCAATATCTGTCTATATTTCTGAGATGAGGTTTTATGTACATTATTTACATTATTCAGACTATTGCTCTCATCTTTGTCGCCATATTTATTACAATGTTTCGGAATTTCGAACTGAACCCTTTATAAAGGGTTCAGTTCGACATTCCAACCATCTGAAGAAGGCCGAACGTACCGAGTGTACAACGGCCGAAATGTTGTAATAAATATGGCGACAAAGTTGAGGACAATAGTCCGAATAATGTAAATAATGACAGCAATATTCCATGCAAGGACGAATGGTTGATTTATAGATTTGAAGGATGGACTCAGACAAGAAAAACTTTCTGGCACGACACAGAACCAACTTTCCTTGCAGTAGATGAAGCTATTGATTCAATGCATTTATTGCAACCCATGTCAGAGCACAGCGTGAGACCAAACAGGCGTAACGAGGCGCTTTCGAGGAGTTGTGAATCGATGCAGAGGTTCAACTGTTTTGAATAATGTTTCATTATAAGCTTAAAGGTTTGTCTGTTTTATTTACAATAATTTTGTTGTATTTGGTTAGCAGTTTCGCATTCATACGGGTTTGGTTGAAAACAAGTGGATGTTCTTTGTTCATTATTTTATTTATTTTTACCTGCATTTCGAAAGTATGACGTCGCCGATAGAATCTTTGCTGCATGTAGAAAACGCAGACTTCGTTGAAATTTAGATAGCATGATTCGCGGCCCTTGCTAAAGTAAATTAACTACAGGACAACAAAATAATTGGAGGTGAAAACAAAGTCACAGGTTTGTTTCTGGCAATAGCCAGCCGTGAAGACGTTAGGTAGATTTTCTTGATGACTTATCCAACAGAAGTGGAAGAATTGACATTTAACCAAATCAAATCAAAGGAAATGTTGATTGTTGCCAAACAAAGTTCTTATCATTAGAACAAGAATCCGAAGAATCCATTATGAAATTTCTGTACCAGCTACGAGTCACCAACAGATATGAATTTCATAGATTAGGACAAGAAAGCGAATTTATTCAACTAACGCCGACAGACGGCATGTGCAATACTTCGCATAGATTTAAAATATGAACAAGATTGCTATTAAACCAAATGTCGTTAGAGGCATGTATCGAATTTATACAATAGGAAAAATTGATTAAAAAATTAAACCAATAGAACCAATAATGACTGCATACAAGAGCAATCCCAATTTGGTATGTCATAACAGGACCATTTTTCTGTCTAGTGTGTGAAAATAAATTGTCCACCACTTTGTGGGCCTGAAGAATGCATGGCACAGTGGATAAAGGCGTTAGTTAGTTCCAGTGACAGAACCCAAAGAGTGTGAGTTCAATACCCGGTTAAGGCAGTGGAGAACTTGGAGAAGGAAATTAACAGGAGATAACTGATAACTGACATCCATTAAACATGGCACGTGGAACTAGAACAGCCTACCCAAGTGAGCGAAATAAAGGGTTTTGTTTGACATTCCAACCACCTGAAGAAGGCCGGAGCGTACAACGGCCAAAACGTTGTAATAAATATGGCGACAAAGATGAGGACAATAGTCTGAATAATGTAAATCGTCCACCCTTTTGTGAGTGTTTTCCGTTTTCTTGAAGAATGTTTGCGGGTTGGGAGGATTTTATTTATGTGTATATATGGTTTTCTTTGATGATTAGCAGCATATAATACTGACGTTGGATTTTTTTCACTCTAATTAAATAAGTTATCTAACCAATTCCAAATCTGTCGGGTTTCGATCCCAGCTTGAAGCAATCGGATGATTAGCTACACTGAGGTGCTGCGATACGGTCTGTCTGTAGATAACTATATATATATATATATATATATATATATATATATATATATATATATATGTATATAGGTGTGTGTGTGTGTGTGTGTGTGTGTATAATGTTTATTTAAACATGATTTTTTTATATGTGTTTATTGATATTTTAGTGTTTTGGCGTTTTTAATATTTTTAACGGCCGACGTAAACTCGATTAAAACGACGTAAGGCGAGTTTTATTTTTCATATAATATTCCAGAAAAACCGACGTATCTTCGAAAACGACTTAAATGGAAACGACTTAAGCCGAGGTATCACTGCATATATATATATATATATATATATATATATATATATATATATATATATATATGTGTGTGTGTGTGTGTGTGTGTGTGTGTGTAAAGAAAGAAAGAGAATTTTTCCGATCCCATCAGTTCTCTACTGGGTATCTGTACTGATGGCACATCTATTTACTCCCTGTCTTAGTAGCAATGCCAAACATATCTCTCAAAGTAAAAATAGCAACTGCTCTCGAAATAGACCTTTAATCAATTGTTAACCAGGGCAAGGAACACTCCCGAAAGAAAACTGATTTCATCTAATTACCATAGAGAACCTTTTCTGGCTGCCATCAGCAACTTATTGCGTCTTTGTGGCTTCACGTTTTCCATTGACATGAATTAGCGCAAATACATTGAATCAATTGCTAGGTGGTCTGCTGCAAGAAAACTTGGGTCACTATATCGCGCCAGCTTCGTCAGAATCCATCTTTTACATTTATAAATCTCTCATTCGTCTGTGCATTGAATATTGCTGCCATATCTGGTCGGGGGATCCTGTTATATATCACGAGATTCCTGACAACATCCACAGAAGGGTCTGTAATATAATCTCGACTTCTCATATCAGAAAAGACAGACTGGGCCCTTCACGGCGGTAACGGGCCTCCTCTATCTTTTCTACAATTATTCTGATGAGTTTTTCTCTTCGGTGCATCGACTGTATGACTTTAAGCGTTCTACTAGATTGGCAATTAGGTCTCAACGTTTTACTGTTGAACTAGCTAGATACAACCGTAAGTTATATTCTAATCGTTTCCTCATCCTCACTTCTCGTCTGTGGAATTCCATTCCGATTTCGTGTTTCCCTGCCATCTATAATCTTCAAAGATGTAAATGCTTCACCGAATGCCATCTTCTGTCTTCCTGAAGCCTGTTCTTTTTTTATTCTTTTACCTTATGCCAGACTTCATTTTCATTCCTAATAGGCCACCTTGCGTCTTAGTGGCATTATCGCCTTGCTTGGGGTGACATGATAAAAAAAACAAGAAACAGACGAAATGGGACGAGAAAGAGATAAATGCTGAGAGAGTTTGTGAAAAGAGAGAGAGAGAGAGAGAGAGAGAGAGAGAGAGAGAGATCATAAAAGAGAGAAAGAAGAGGAAAGATAGAAATGGAGAGAAGGATTAAAAGAGGAAAAAAGAAAGAAAACAGGAAAGAAAATGGGAGAAACGGACATATAGAAATGGAGATAGAGATAGAAAGAGAGAGAGAGAGAGTGAGAAGGAAAGAAAGAGAGATGAATTTTGAAAGAGAGTGAAAGAAAGAGAGAGAGGAAGAGAGAAAGAGGAATGAGTTTTGAAAGAGAGCGAGATATATATAGAGAGAAAGACAGAAAGAGGAAGAGAAATGAGTTTTGTAAGAGAGCGAAGAATAGAGAGAGCGGGAGAGAGAAAGAGAGAATATAAGAAGGGGAATGATTTTTTTAAGAGAGCGAATGATAGAAAGAAAGAAAGAAAGAAAGAAAGAATAATATACAAGAATATGAAATGAAGAGGCGTACAAAGAAAGAAAGAAAGAAAGAAAGAAAGAAAGAAAGAAAAAGAAAAAAGAGAGAACGGTTAACTGAAGAGAAAAAGAAACGAACGTTTAGAAAGCATAGTATGGCACAATGCCAAATCAGTAGAGCACCTATTTCGAACTCTCTACTTGATTGAATCTGTTTGAAGATCACATCAAAGAGGACACCTCAGAAGGAAAGACATTGGGAAAGTCAGCAACGCAAAGAAAGTGTAAAGGAAAGAAAGAAGGAAGAAGAATGAGGGAAATACAGAAAGAAAGAACTTCAAGAAAAAAAAGTGATGAATATAATTATCAAGGGGCGGTAAAGAAATACCGAGGAAAGAACATATATATATATATATATATATATATATATGAAGAAATTTTGAAAAAACAAACAAAAATCCTTAAATGTAGTTAAAATGAAAGAAATGTCGACGTCTGACGTTTCGGTTTAATAAACCTTTTTCAAGACAATATTCATCAAAATACAATTCAGTTCAATATGACAAATACGATGGACATAAAAACACAAGTCTTATTCAGAACAGATAACTGAAAATTTTTAAAAATGATCAGCCTTCCGTCTAACATGGTCACGCCGTCGTCACATTTAACTACATTTAAGGATTTTTGTTTGTTTTTTCAAAATTTCTTCATTCTGTCGGATTTATATCCATTTACACTTGCTTATATATATATATATATATAGGTTTGGTTTGGTTTGTTTTACAGCATATCAACCTCAATGGGTTATTTAATGCCGACAAAATTTTTATTGCTGGTAATATTTTGCTTTGTCAAAAATCTATTTCTGGTAATATTTTCCTTCAAAAATATACTGCTGGTAATAACTTTTTTCAAAAAAGTATTGCTGGTAATATTTTTTTTTCAAAAATGTATTTACTGTAATGGATTTTTTTCTTCAAAAATTTATTGCTGGTAATAATTTTTTACAAAGTATTTCCGGTATTAAAACTTATTTCACACTTTCATAGTGTTTTTACCCCAGTTCCATGGTTCAATATTTGCCCATAGCTGGGACCCTAACAGGTGCTACCACCCCGGGTCAGGGCGGACCTGGGAACATCAGCAATTAAGAACTGGTTCCACGCTCTTCAAAACCTCCCGATCAGGGGCCTTGCTGCTGGACGTAGTTTATCGTCATACCCAGGACTGTATAGTGGAGGTATTTACCTACGCAGGGTATCCAACAAACATTGAAGTTCTTACACCACTGAACATTTTGTAAAAATCATTTTCTCACATTCGCTTTACGTCAATCATAGTTACTTGGCTTACCACAGTTAAGGCTTTATCTCAAATCATTCCTGTTTTGTTAACGAACTAGGCGTGCCAGTTGCTGCTCTACGGCAGGAATCCTAAACATGTATTCATTATGTCTTCGTCTGGCACAAAACCATAACATTGGAGAATCCCAGTGCTGATTAACAGTAGACACTAATTCGAGAGGCTGTAGACGCGCCAAGCTCTTTGACTGACGACGGCACACAATTATTTCTAATCTGAGGAGTAATAGCCGTAATAATGGTACGTTTGAAGATTGTCAAAAGACTACGCTAATAATCCAAGGAAGAATAGGAACATAACAGGGGATTTTCACTTTTTAAACTAACAAACTGGACAAAGCATTTTCTATGTGCATTTATTTGTCTTTTACGACTACACAAAACATGGAGATATTTTAAACATTTTGATGCAGATGTTAATATGGCTTTCTAAACTTTGACACGTTGTTTCAAAGCACACAAAAATTAGCAGAGTTTAAGTTTAACTGAAAAAACTTACATAAAAGTAATATAATAATTAATTATAATTTTCAATTCTGTCTATGTTTCCGAAATGAGGTATTGCAATCATTTACATTGTCCTCCTCTTTATTCTCATGTTCACGACGTTTCCGCCGAAAATAAAAGGGTTCATTTCGAAATCCCAGTTACCTGAAGAAGGTCGGAGCGTACAACAGCCGAAACATAGTGAACAGACAATAAAGATCAGTCCGAACAATGTAAACAATGTTAATAATTCGCAATTATTATTAATTTTATTTCAGGCATGGGCTTCCAGGAATCCCTTCATTGAGTCTATTGGAATCTTTTCCAATTAATCCGAGGGCTCCAACTACGACAGGGATTGTTGATGTTTTCATGTGCCATATTTTTGAGATTTCGATTTCAAGGTCCTTGTATTTTGATAGCTTTTTGAGGATCTACAAAGATACATTGCAGTCTGCAGGGACTGCCATATCAACAAGGAGGCACTTTTTTGTCTGCGGTGTTTATTATTATTGGTAGTATTAGTAGTAGTAGTTGAGTTGTAGTAGTAGTAGCATTAGTAGAAGTAGTATTACTAATATTACTAAAAAAACGGACACGTAAATCCATTAAAATGATGCTGATCGCGACTACATCTGCCATATTCGAATGATCCATTTCATGATCCAGTAGGGACTTGCAGAACCAGTGCAAGGGTCTCGTCTTCTCTCGAATCCATTGATTATTATTATTATTATTAATATTATTTTCTTTGATTTCTGGCGTTTACACATTTCTTTCCGGGTCCCGCCCAGGGACCTAAGGTTAGAAATGGCGTCATGACACTTTCCACTGACAAAAAAAAAAAAAAATTAAATTACATAGATAAAGCCCTTCGTAAGGTGTGGGCTGTACTCGACAGAACAATTTTTTGTATCTCCTTAAGGCATGGACTTCCAGGAATCCCTTCAATTAGTCTACTGCAATCTTTTCCAACCAGTCCTAGGGCTCCAACTACAACAGGGATTGTTGATGTTCCCATATGCCACATTTTCGAGATTTCTATTTCAAGGTCCTTGTAATTTGACAACTTTTTGAATATCTTCAAAGATACATTGAAGTCAGCAGGGACTGCCATATCAATAAGGAGGCATCGTTTTTGTTTGTGGTCTTTAATAACAATATCTGGTCGGTTGGCCTTGATTGTTCTATTATTTCCTTTCATTGTTGATGTTCTTATGTGCCACATTTTTGAGATTTTGATTTTAAGTGTCCTTGTATTTTGATAAATTTTTCAAGATCTTCAAAGATACATTGCAGTTTACAGGGACTGCCATATCAAGAAGGAGGTATTTTCTTTTTCTGTGGTCTCTAATAACGATGTCTGGGCGAATAGCTATAATTCTTCTGTGTGTATGGTGAAGTCTCATGAAATTGTAACAGGTCTGCGTAAGCGGGTCTGGGTGGTGTTCATACCAACTGCGGTCTCTAATAACTATTAGCGAATGAACATGCTTATAAGGATTCGTAAATTTCAAGATTGGTTATTCCTAAACTTTAGTTTGATGATGAAACAGGGCTTGTTACTTTAATTCAATTTAATTTTAATAATTACTGGCAGTAGAACCCGGCATTTCCCGGGGATGTAACAGTAAGAGATAGATCAAGTATCGACCATCATAAAGACTGAAAAATAAAATTGACAAAGATTATTGTTTAAGGTTGACGGACACGCATGTCTTAATTAGTTTTTGTTTTGTTTTGTTTTTTGGGGTTTTTTTTACGAATTGGTCAAACCCAAATTCAAACAAAAACATTGTTTTCAATCGTTATGAGTCTACCGATTGAATAGAATTTTATTATAAACAATTGTCTTGTAAATGGAATTTTTAAAGCATTCTGAATGTAAAAATAAAGAAAAAAGTGTGCAAGACAATAAGAAACACTACCTGCCAAAAAAAGTGAAGTTTTGTTGAAATCGTTTGAAAAATATAGGAAATCCGATCCCATATATAAACGAACACACACACACACACACACAACCTGGGTTTTATAATAAGTATAACTCGATATGAGTTGTCCCCCTTTCATTCTTGCGACAGTGATGCCTCTTAATCGTGTTTTCAAATTGATTTCGTGCAAAAACAATTGTGTTTTTTCAATTTTTGGCGCTGTCAGAAGCACCGCAAGGCGATTTTACGTAGTCCTGTGAAGTTTTGTTAAAATCGGTTGAAAAATGTAGGAAATCCGATCCAATATATAAACGTACACACACACACAACCTGGGTTTTATAATAAGTATGATATTGAGGTTTACGGCTCTCGTTTTGAAACATGAGAACCCTTATATAGCGAAGGAATCACAGTTTTTACAATATATATATATATATATATATATATATATATATATATATATATATATATATATAAAATATGTGCTGCAGTTCAATTTATATTACAATGAATCGTTCATAGAAAAAAGTAGATTATTAAAGTTAATGATATAAAATGGCGAAATCTCTTCGCAAAACAAAATTTTAAAGTTGCATTAACCTACGAACCACTCGATGAATGTTATGATATATATATATATATATAGAGAGAGAAATAATTATTAGGTTTTGAGATATTCATAATTAAGTAATTCATCGAGTCTAGAAGAATCGTCAACAGAATGCAGAAATCACTGGACGGCCGTTTCGTCCTATATTTGGGACTCATCAGCAGAGCGCATCCTCTATCGAGAATTGAAACTATACTATACTACTAAAGGTCTTTATACTATCGTTCACCCAATACAAGGCCCAAGAGCCACTCAATGTAGACGGTTACTGAAATTGGTTGTTATAAGGGCGTAAGCGGAGGAAGACAGAAGTGCATAATATGAGGATATATAGGATAGATAACAGTTGACCCTAGACTTGATGAGGTTAAGATTGTATCGATTAGGGAAGCATCCTCTTGGGAGTATGAATGAGATTATTGTATGAATGTAAGAGGAGGAGGAGGTAAGAAGGACAAATTATGAAAATATGTAGGAAATGTAATGGTTGACCTTAGACTTGAAGAGGTTAAGATTCCACAAAGTAAAAGTTCTAGGGAAGAAATTGTTTGAGTTGAACGCCCTCCTCATCTATAGAGCTTCTACTTGGGCAAACTCCCGAGTAGATGCTTCCATGATCATTATGTCTCAATTAATTTTCGGAGAAACCTAAACAAAAGTATAAATGGATTTCCTCGAGCATTAAGAAAAATAGCTTGCCTGTCTATTCCTAAATTGTCGGATAAAGATGATTGCCTTTCTGGTGCTGCATCATCTGTTTTTACTTATTTTCAATTGTCCTAGGTGTAGTAGAGACTACTGTCGCTACCTTTTTAGAGCAGCAATATTTGTGAAGCATCGCACTGGCTCATAAGGGGTTAATTCGATTGAAATGGTGGAAATTACTTTAAAAAAAACAGCAATAAATAATGTCACCATAAGATCATAGTAAAGTATATGTTATTTTTCAACAGTGAATCATATCAGTTTTCAGGGCCGCAAAATATCCAAATAAATAAATTAAAAAAAAATTGTCTAACGTGTTATTAAAAGAAATTTTCTGAAAAAAGAATATGCTTCGTGGTTTTTGGGCTTTTAATCTGACACACAAACACACATTTACGAGCAGAAATTGACATTTATATGTTAGTTATATGAACAAGCACGCGAGCATGATGCACACATATATAAGTCCGTGTTAAAAAAAAAAAGTAAAAAAAGAAACAGTGACTCACTTTTTCAAACCATGAGACTTGCAGACTAAGAAAGCTCACGTTGCTTGAGTGAATAAACAACAGCATTACTAGAAGCAGCGGAAAGGAAAAAAAAAAAGACTTCGTAATAACAGATGAAGGCAACAAACGAATCAAGCTAATGAAAATAGCTTCAATCTCAGTCAGTCCGCTTTTTTTAACAAATAAAGAACAATTATATATAAAAGAAAGGTGAAATAACAATTAAATCGATATTTGAGGAAAATAGGAAAAGAGAGAACTATTTGAATGAAGGGAAATGATAACGAGGCTGAGAGACGCCATCACAGCTTAAATTCAAGATTATGTATCTGTCTGTCTGTCTATCTAGCTATCTTTCATTGTATCGCTATTTCTACTGTAACAGTGGGTCCCAGAGACATGTAAATGATTGAATGAATGAATAAGTGCAATCTTATGGTACATCAACTCTTCAATAATGGTTATGCAGTGCCAAACAATTTTTTATTTATTCAATTTGTTATAGTCTTTAATCACCTATCTAAGAATTTAGTAGAAAAACAACTTCGTGTAATTATCTATCTATCTATCTATCTATCTATCTATCTATCTATCTATCTATCTATCTATCTATCTATCTCAGTCTGAGAGACTTAATAAAGAAGATGTGATCTCCGGCAGGGTTCGAATCTGCGTCCTCCTTTGTAAGGAAAACCACTGACGTGTTTTAACCACATAAGCCAAGCGGGTCGGACATTTATGCACAAGCCGATAGACGTAACTGTCACAATCTCACCCCACTTCAAAAAAAAAAAGAAAAGAAAAAAGAACAAAACAAAAGACAAAACAAAAACAAGATGTCTATTCAAATATAGATATCCCCAAAAGAATGTTTAGCGTAGTAATAAATAATGTCGCATAAATTATTAGTAGTACACGGAAAATGTTTTTAGTATTCCTCCGAAATTTTGATGAAGCAGCGATAAAATTTATAAATGTTTTCCTATTTTGTCCTTAATTAATGACTCTGCACAATTTAATCCATGTATTTCTCGCACAAAGATACTATTTTTTTGTCATCTGGTCAGATTATATGAATTGCATACGAGCAAGGACAATATACTATCCCTTCGTTTATATATATACATATGTATATTGGTTTTACTGTGAACATGTAGTCCCGTACAAGTTGCATGATGTCTAAAACCTGCTCCCTACTAGCTTTTCTCCTGGTGGGGTGGGTTGCATGTCACCCCGCAAAGGATGGATGTGTTTCTTACAGTATCTAAATGCTAACGTGTAATATATTTGTGCTGCGAGGGGTGGGACGTTGATATACTTGGGTTCGTGACCAGACGCGCGGGTTGACTGTTTATTTTGAAATGGTATTACATTTCAAGTGGCACTAGTCGAAATCGAAAATGGGAAAGGCTGGTCATCACTGACTATCCTACACTTATCTAACAGCCAATTCATTCTTACTATTGACCCGATCACAATAAAAGCTCATTCATCACCATTCAATCCAACATATATACTGCGTGCGGTTAAACTGTGGTGAAATGAGACCAACAAACTTTAACTTACCCGAGACTAAGAGTCAACGATGGCTCGCCTACCCTGTCGGAACCACCATTTGCAATTTAGTCAAGAATTATTGTATATAAAATAGAATTGTCGCACAAGGCCTAAAATGGGGAATGGGTTGAGGCTAGTCGTTACTTACTCTCTTATACGTAGCTAATCCGATTCATGACCCATTCACTCGTTACAATGATCCATCATCATTCAATCCTCTATATACCGTAAAATACTCTCAGGGGACCTACAAAAACACATCCCCATGACATAAAAATTTAATAAGCATAAAAATCTGTATCTAAAAATCTGTAAATGATACGCCATGAGGAAAAGAGGGGATGAATAATAATAATAATTAAAAAAAAACAAACTAAAATATCAAAACAAATGCACAAAATAAAGATAACTGATGTTAGTTGGACCCATCAAGCCCTCAAAAGATTTGAGAGAGGCTGCTGTATTCTGTCTTTAGACAAAATCAAGACGTTCCCTTGCTAAAGAAGAGGGAAGGATAAAATAAATATGGCCATGGGAAAAGGAAAAAAAATCTGTTCCTAGTCGAAATGAAAAAGGGGTCAAAAACAAACAGGCGGGAAGATCTCGACTTGGATCATAACCAAAGAAGGAGCCGGGAACGGCTCTTACATTAACTAGGTACAGAAGTTAGGTCTATCCTAACCAGGGGAGGCCATTTGCAATTTATTCAAAGCGCATGCGTGGTTCTGCCTCTTTTAAAATTATCACTAATTTGCACGCGTCGTCAAAAACTTGAATAAAAATGACCTATTTTACCACATCGCCCAGCTAGGTGTGAGGAGAACTTGTCCTTTTTAGGACACTCTTTCACGGAGAGTTGAAACTCGTATATAAGTCCTTCACGTTCATTTGCTCTCTGTGAGTATCAATCTTTGTTGTGCCACTGGTGCTATCGCTGATTTCACTAAAAATGTGCAATGTTTTATCCGCTCAAAAGAATTTCACGTGCAGAAATTTCTTAAACAATCATCTTTGAATTATTCATTTGGGAATTATGAGTCTTTGTAAATTACTCTCTCACAAGTCGTCTTCCATCATCATACTTATTATAAAACCCAGGTTGTGAGTGTGTGTGTGTGTGTGTCTGTACATTTATATATTGGATCGGATTTCCTACATTTTTCAACTGATTTTAACAAAAATTCACAGGACTGCGTAAAATTACCATGCGGTGGTTCTGACAGCGCCAAAAATCGGAAAAACACAATTGTTTTTGCACGAAATCAATTTGAAAACACGATTAAGAGGCATCGCGAGAATGAAAGGGGGCCAACTCATATCGAGTTATACTTATTATAAAACCCAGGTTGTTTGTGTGTGTGTGTTTGTTCGTTTACATATGGGATCGGATTTCCTACATTTTTCAACCGATTTCAACAAAACTATACTTTTTTTGGCAGGTAGTGTTTCTTATTGTCTTGCACACTTTTTTCTTTATTTTTACATTCAGAATGCTTTAAAAATTCCATTTACAAGACAATTGTTTATAATAAAATTCTATTCAATTGGTAGACTCATAACGATTGAAAACAATGTTTTTGTTTGAGTTTGGGTTTGACCAATTCGTAAAAAAAAAAAAAAAAATTAAGACATGCGTGTCCGTCAACCTTAAACAATAATCTTTGTCAATTTTATTTTTCAGTCTTTATGATAGTCAATACTTGATCTATCTCTTACTGTTACATCCCCGGGCAACGCCGAGTTCTACTACTAGTATTGGATACCCAGAGGCAAATATACGTGAGTAACGTTCATATCCTCGAATGTAGTCTATCAGTAAAGAGTTGCTGGTAGTTCAGCGCCGCTATCGTGGGTAAGACGATAAAATACATCCTGCAGCAAGGCCTCTGACCAGGAGGTTTCGAGGAGCAATAAAAATCTTGTCGGAATTAAATAACATGCTATACCATTTAGCTACAGAGGAAGCATCTGATTAGCAAGGTTAAATTACTGTAATTACTGCAACTGTAATTGCAGTAATTTAATACACGCACACACACACACACACACACGCACACGCACACACACACGCATATATATATATATATATATATATATATATAGAGAGAGAGAGAGAGAGAGAGAGGGGGTTAGTTTATGCAAAACTAGGTAATCCGTATGGGTAGACCCAAGGAGGATGATATCCAGAGAGCTCGATGTCAATTCAGAGCAAATAAATTTGAGTAAAAACAGACCACTTTAAGGTTCCATCCATGCATATTCCTTCAACTGGGCACTCTGATCCTGTCTTGCAATTGCATGTTGATGTGTTCATTTGACTTGTATTATGATTTTGTATTAGATTATCATGAAGGTCTCTCAAGATTTTACTATTGTGTAAGCCAATAATTCTCTCCATAGAACCATAAAGAACCTGTTTTTTATTTAATATATATATATATATATATATATATATATATATATATATATATATATATATACGTGGTGTCCCCCCAAAATTGACATCATGTTGTAGCCCAATAACAACTCTCGAGGCAATGATCTCAAATTTTAGCAAAATATGTAAAAACTAAGTTGGCTGTGCATACTTATCTCAATGACAATCTACCAGGAAGTGCAATTGATAAGGGCAATGGGCTGTTGAAATGACCACCAAGTTCACTTTACTTGACATGTTATGATTTTTTTTCTATGGGGCTATTTATAGGAAAGGACAGATCTATATCCCCACTCTTCTTACAATCCTATAGGAATTTAAGCAGAGGCAATTGAGAATGCTATGCTGGACATGCTACAACGTGTTTGGCAGGAGCTGGACTACCGTCTTGATGTTTGTCCTGTCAGTGTTGATGCACATATTGAACATTTGTGAAGCTTTATTGAAATCGGTTATAAAATCTATATTATTTGATTATCTTGTTCGAATTTTAATTAAATCTTTTAGTGTTCAACATAAAGCCTATTTAATTCCGTTTATCTGGGACTTGTAGATACTTATATATTCACATTTTAAATGACACCAATTTTTTTTCAATACCCTGAGTGTGTGTGTATGTAAGCATGGCTTTGTGAAGAAAATGTCCATATCTACCTATCAGAATCTGGGCGGAAATGTCACATGAAGAATCATACTGAGTACAAATGCTACCATCAAGAGGAGGAATTTGTGATATGTTCCGGAAAGGAATATATTTGTTCGAAGTAGCAAAGTGGTTTTGGACTACTGTAACCGAGCAGGACAATCTAGCAGGTAACTGTAATGGACTGGTCCTCGTCGTAGTGGTAAGCAAGAGGCGTAGGCAGTAGGCGTCGTCCCTGTACCTCCACATCAGTCTGTATTTATGGCTGACACCAGCCAATCATGTTACTGCGACGGGGAACCCAGGTGTATGCATATTCATTACATCAATTTGTCTCTTGCGCTATAAGCAATCTAAGAACAAGACTACTCTCACCGGGCATGGGAAGTTCCATAATATCCATCCTGAAAACACGGGGCAAACAAATAACCGGAATAAATTTCTTTGTCAGCAGAGTAATAGAGCTTTTCTGCTTTGAAGGGTCGTTTCAGAGCCCATGAGCGGGCTTAACTATATATTGTAAATAGCTGATTTCTACTCAAAACTTCTCCCGAGTGAAATCTTATCTCATCAGCAGGAAGGAATCGCGGTTTTTGTCAAGTATCATTTAATTGTAAAATCCTTTCCAAGTGTTTTGCCAACAGATCATCACTTGTATAAGGTACAGTGGTTTAGCGTTAAAAGTTGTCAGAAATAAGTGTATGTTGATTTTTATTTCTTTCCTTGAAGTTAAGCAATGTCGAGCCTGGTCAGTACCTAGATGGGTGCGAGTAGGATAGAGGTCTTACAATCATATCATATTGAAAAACCGGTTCCTGTACGATCACCAAATTTAAGCAACGTCGAGCATGGTCAGTAGCTAGATGGGTGACCGCTTGGGAATGCTAGGTGTTGTAAGCTTGGATGTGCGAGTAGTATAAGGGTATAACACACATATCATTTTGAAACACCGGATCTCGTACGGTCACCGAAGTTAAGCAACGTCGAACCTGGTCAGTACCTAGATGGGTGACCGCTTGGGAATGCTAGGTGTTGTAAGCTTGGATGTGCGAGTAGTATAAAGGTCTTACAGCCATATCATTTTGAAAAACCGGTTCTCGTACGATCACCGAAGTTAAGCAACGTGGAGCTTGGTCAGTACCTAGATGGGTGACTGCTTGAGAATACCGGATACTGTAAGCTTGGATGTGCAGGTGGTGTAATGGGTAATGGCTCGGAATTGTTAATCAGAGTGCTGAGTTCCAATTCCAGTTGGGTTCGTAATATTCACCTACGTAGAAATCCCACTGGAAAAGATATAAATCCGTCTCTTCTCCCCAAGCTATGGGTTATTAGTAAGGCATCACTAAATTATTATGTCGAAAAACAAATTCTTTCAATCTAAAAATAATTTCTGGTTTGAAATAGCTTGTTATGGTTTGATAATCCGTAAATACGAACCATTCAATCAAATCTTTTTGCAATTGAATGAATGTTTTATTTCTTAAAAATTACTCTTAGGTAATTGATATTCGATTTGCAAACTTGTAAAAATATCCGGATTTAACGTAATGTCAAGACCTTCAGTTTTTCTTGATACAATTTTAGCAAAAAAAAGTAAATAATATAAATAAATAAAACGTAAAATATGAATAATAAGAAAAGTAGCAAAACAGGTTGTTGAGACATATGGCCCAGTGGTTAAAGACGTTGGTTAGATCCAATGATAGACCCAAAAGAGTTGTGCGTTCAATACCAGGCCACAAAACCAGAAACTTGGAGAGTTAATTTAAAGGAAAGTAACTGCTATAATAGGCATGGCACGTGGAAGTAGAACAATCTACCCCGGTGAACGAAATAAAGGGTTCAGTTCGAAATTCCAATCACCTGAAGAAGACCGGAGCGTACAACGGAGGAAAAAAAAAACATTAACAAAAAATCAGTAGAATTGATCGAATTATTTTTGCTGTAGCTGATGGGATTTAATTTTCAGTCCTTATAGAAAGGATTTCTTATGGGACAAAAATTTGCAAATTTCTTTCCGTGTGTCTATGGAATGTTTCCAAAGACTAATGAGTACTATACTTTTTCGATGCGTCAGATAGAGCAACTAGCTTAAATGGGCAATTAACACTGACAGACTACAGATAAAGGAACCATATAGATTTAGGCTGTACTGTGCCGCAAATGAGGAAGAATACATGAAATAATTTATTGAGTTGTTAAAAAGACCATATTTTGTGGGCAAAGTTTAAAATATATACATCTGGAAAGTGACGCCGCAGAGATCGCACACACACACACACACACACACACACACACTTTCTCTCTCTCTCTCTCTCTCTCTCTCTCTCTCTCTCTCTCTCTCTCTTGCAAATAATAACTATAAAAACGATTGACTAGCCTTCCCGTATCTAAAACTACTTTGTTCGGCACCGTGTTTTGAATTAATTAATTCCCGATTAGCATAGATAATAACTCACTGTAATGATATTCTTTTCTACACATTCACAATTTTTATTCCATTTAGATTTAAGATTTACCTGGCATTTTTGTCCGCTGTTCTTTTTGTAGACGTATCTATAGCTAATCTATGCTGAAAGTTTTTCGACCAATACTTGTTTGTTACAGAAGACATATTCATGACGAGGAAATCCATAGTAACAGCAGGATTTCTCCACGCATAAACAAATATATAATTCCACAAGAAACAACACACTTCATCAAAGATTTGTCCCGCTGCTGATCAAGTAGAGCGTAGTAACTACAAAGATCTGGACACAGGGGGTTATTTAAAGGCATATGTTCACTGTGTAGTTGTTTGGAGTCCCCATGTTGCCATATTGTTCATTCGATATATTTTCTCAGAATGAATAATTGCAAGATTTCTCGCTGGAAAAGCAAGAAATTAATTTAACTTTATTTCAATTTTATTACTCTATTCTCCTTTGAAACCTGATTTAGCCACAAGTGTCTTCGTAAATAAATCAAACACGTTTATTTGATTTTTCAAATTTGAATTTTGTATGTGTTGATCTGGTCATCGCACGAACATCACAATGTGACCCGACGTATCGGCCTTTATCGGTAATGGTGTTAAACAGTAATTAAATGTAACAAAATCTTTCAGCCTTCTTGAATTTTATTGCTATAAGCGGATATTTAAGAACATTCAGGAAAGAAGAATTAATTTATCTTAAAAACCCTTTGAAAGATAATAATCTAAAGATGGCGCTGTTCACAGTCATCATTTAAACAATTTGAGATAACCTATTAATGAAAACCTCTTTTGAGTTTGTCTCATTGATAATCATTTGAATTATAATTGTTTTCCTTGCTTCTTTCAAGTCTGCAATTTTATATTTTCAATACAGGCTTTACCGGAAGATTTTCGTGTCTGCAATCATTTTAATCAATATCGCCTCAAGCAAGACAGTAAAGTCGGTAAGACACAAGGGGTTACAGAGCCGTGGAAGAATGAAGAAAAGAAACATGAATAATGAACGGAAAATGAAAAGAATAATCAAGAGGACGATAGATAGCGATTGACATTACATATAAATATATGCAGATTGAAGTTCGGCAAGAGAGAAATGCAAGGAAGGAAACTGTTAGCATCGAAGGTGCAGCTACATTTAGCCAGATTAACTGTAAGTTAATGAGATCTCGACGCCAGTCTAAATTAAAAAAAATAAAATTAAAAAAAGCTAGGTACCATTAAAGCTAGGTACCAAATTAAATTAAAAAAAAAGCTAGGTACCATAGCGAAGATCCCGTCCGAACAATTAGCATGAAAGTATTTATAGAAAAGAGACAGAGAGGCGATAAAAAAATGACTGGAGCTGAGCGAGCAGATCAGGATAAATAATGTTGCAGATTCTTGTTTGAATCTTATCAAGGAATTCTAAATAAATAAGTCACCGGACCATATGTGGCAACAATATTCTAAGCATGGGCAAATGGTAGAGTTATAGATATGTAAGATAGATTCCGGAGAGAAAAATTGCCTTGCCCGACATAGTGAACCAACATTTTTATCAGCTGACCTAGCAATGGATTCAGTATAGTCTTTCCACTTCATGTCAGAACGTGACCAAGAGAAGGCGCAACGCGTCTAAATTTAAAAGTTTTTCTTTGAAGCTCGGGTAATCTTTAATTTATACAAGTTTTGTCAGAGATTTTGGTGACACAATGACGTTATTTTAATGTTTGTTTTGTTTTAAATTTTCGTACTATTTTACTTATATACATTTATCCACTTTGAATGATACCTCATTATCAATTTAGATTTGACTATATGAGATGAGGTATTTACAGTATTTACATTGTTCGGACTGTTGTCCTCATCTTTATTGCCATATTCACGACGTTTCGGCTGTTATAATCTCTGCTCTGCTTCAGGGTCTGTCTATATTTCTCAGATGAGGTATTATAATTATTTACACTATTTACATTGTTCGAACTGTTGTCCTCATCTTTGTTATCATATTCACGACGTGTCGGCCGTTGAGCGCTCCGGCCTTCATCAGGATCTGTCTATATTTCTCAGATCAGGTATTGTAATTATTTACACTCTTTACATCATTCGGGGTGTTGTCCTCATCTTTTTTGACATATTCATGACGTTTCGGCTATTGTAATCTCGGTCTTCTTCAGGGTCTGTCTATATTTCTCACATGAGGTATTGTAATTATTTACACTATTTACATTGTTCGAACTGTTGTCCTCATCTTTTTTGTCATATTTACGGCGTTTCGGTCGTTGAGCGCTCCGGCCTTCATCAGGATCTGTCTGTATTTCTGAGATGAGATATTGTAATTAATTACCCTATTAACATTGTTCGGACTGTTGTCCTCATTTGGTGTCATATTCACGACGTTTCGGCCGTTGTGCGCTCCGGCCTTCTTCTGGATCTGAGTATATTTTAATTCATTGGATTACTTTATTACAACGCTTTTATACACTGGGCCATCTACCGCAGTGGATGAAATAAAGTCTTTGGTTCAAAATTCCAACGTATATCACCTGAAGAAGCCCTGAGCGTACAACGGCCGAAACGTCGGGAATTTGACAATAAAAGATGTAAATAGTGTAATTTAATAAATCTTTAAAATAGTAATTGAAAATTGTTTGCATTTATATAAAGAAAAATATAAATTTCTATATACCTGAAAAGCTGGTGATTTTACTTAAATGTATATTTTTCTCTAATAAACTCTCCTGTCGATAATTTTTTTCAGTCTCAATTCAAATGTGCCATTGTACATTGTTATTTTGACCTCGGGTATCATATGAGGTCAACAGAGGTCAAAAGCGAAAAATGTCCGCTTCTAAATCTGGGAAAATATTATTATTAATTTTGAAATTTTGATTACTCTTTTTTACGAAGAGCAATGATTTCTTACGATGAAAATATCTTTTGTATAGTATTTGAACATTTTGATATTTTATTTATGTTATAAATAAACCCCAGTTTTCTAAAACCTTAAAAAATCATCTTTTTTGAAAACTGCAAATAAACTAAATAGAGAATAAATTATGAATAAATTTTGAATAAATTATGAATACCATAAAATTAAACAATGTTTAGCGATATTGGAAATCAGTGATTTTCATAAAAATAGCAAAATTAGTGAAAATAATTGCCAACAAAATCTTTGTAGCAGCTTGAGAAGTTAAAATTAAATTGATTTGCAAATTCTTTATTAATCAAATATCATAATCTAGGGCAGGTCTTTTGACATTAATTGTTGAGACGCGAAGTTTGTGTCATTCACTTATTGGCCTCCAGACTTTTGGCATTTCATCGGGAAAATGACATTGTTTCCGATGTTCTTGAGTCAAATCAGATTCAAAATGGCGTATTACTGCAATATCTGGACTAGAGCTACCCAGTGTTCAGTTTCAGCATTTTTTTTTCCAGAATTCCAAAGTGGCGTTGTCGTCCATTAATCATTTCCAACCTTACATCCTCTTTCTCGGAGACACAACGTCACATGCCTCTTGCTATTCTATCACTATTTCCATATCGCGGGTACAAACTTACTTCCCCCCTATAAAGGACGATAACTCAGAATACATTTGAGTTATATCCCTTGTCCGCTAGTTGGATCGCAACACTTCTGAATCCAACATGGTGATAAGCTGATACGTACGTGGAACTCATGGCTTAAATCCAAACAAATCCTTATGCAATAAATGAATAAGTGTTATTTTATTATGTGTTAAAACAGACTTGTTTTTTGCATTTTCATTCGTTTTTGTTCATCCCAACAACCTGGAATATAAAACTTAGTTCTACCAGTTCGAACTTTTACAGCTAAGATCTGACATATTATGCCTACAGGGTGGAGCATTTGTCATATTCTTCATCTTCCAATGGTAAGGAGGAAGTTCCATTCAGACAGTTTTTTTACAATAGCCGCTGCTTTGTGGAACAAACTCCCGAGAGAATGCTTTTCCTATAAATGCTTTTTATAATAATAATAATAATAACAATAATAATAATAAATTCCTGGATACGTCAGCTACAAAAGATTAATCACTCCCCATCTAAAAGAAAAGTTCCAAACGTGCATAGATAAGTTTCCTACAGTGGCCTTTTTACTCCTAGACGCCGGAGTTGACTTGTTAATTAGACAAATAAAATTACTTTCTGGTAAGATGATCCCACACACAGCAGCAGCAGCAGCAGCAGCAGCAGCAACAACAACAACAACAGTAATAATAATAATAATAATAATAATAATAATAATAATAATCCACAAAACAATTGATCATCTTGCATCAGGTTGCATAGTATTGGCACCCATTGAATACAAAACCCGGCATGACAGAGTGGGCCAATATCTGCATTGGAAAATCTGCAACATCTACGGAAATGGAAAATGAGAGAAATTGGTATGAACACCCCGCCACCAGAGTTATGGAGTTAGGACATGTAACAATTTTATGGGGCTACACACAGACACACAGAGGGAACAATCAAATCTAATCGCCCAGACATCGTGATTAGAGAACGCAAACAAAAAAATTGCCTCCTTATTGATATGACAGTCCCTGAAGATTGCAATGTATCTTGAAGATCTTCATAAAGCAAATACAAGGTTATTGAAATCAAAATCTCAAAAATGTGGCACATGAAGACATAAAAAATCTTGTTGTAGTTGGCGCCCTCAGATTGATTGGAAAAGATTCCAGTAGACTCATTGAAGGGATTCCTGGTAGTCCATGCCTTAAAGAAATACAAAACATTGTTCTCATGAATACAGCCCACACCTTACAAAGGGCTTTGTCTATGTAAAATATGTTTGTTTTTGTTCTCCTAGTGGAAAATGTCATGATACCATTTCTAACCTTAGGTCCCTGGGCGAGACACATCAGAAATCAAAGGAAATAATAATAATAATAATAATAATAATAATAATAATGACTTCTGACCGTAATTGATTGGCGGTTTTAACATGTTTTTCCTAGTGAATTAAGGTGAGCGACAGTAAATATCCCGTCAGTACAAGATATGCTTGTCAGCTGCCTGACTATAACAAGTCGAGCGTGTCCCCTAGATGGGAGGTCTGATACATTGTGCATCGCATATTTTTACCCCAGCATCGTCTTGTTAGCGGGCTACTCTCTCACATATTAACAAATAATACGCCCAGACAAAAAACAAACAAAAAAAAAAAAAAAAAACAAAACAAAACAAAAAAAAAACAGTAAATTAGCTGCAATAGATAAAAAGTACATTTGTCGTCTTCACTGTGAAATATTCCGGACTCTTCATAAACTGTACACGAAAAAAATGAGAAAATGTTGCGTCAAAGAAGAAATTGAAGCCTTGTACCCGAGGGACGGGGAGGGCTTCCGTCGAAAAAATGTTTTTGATAAGGAAAACAGCAAGTGTCTGTCTATATTTCTAAGATGAAGTATTATGTACATTATTTACATTATTCAGACTATTGTCCTCATATTTGTTGCCATATTTATCACAACGTTTCGACTGTTGTACGCTCCGACCTTCTTCAGGTGGTTGGAATATCGAACTGAACCCTTTATTTCGGTCACTGGCGTAGACTGTTCTAGTTCCACATGCCATGTTTAATGGATGTCAGTTATCAGTTATCTCCCGTTTATTTCGCTCTGAAAGTTCTCCACTGCCTTAACCGGATATTGAACTCACACTCAAGAACACATGGCACAGTGGATAAAGGCGTTAGTTAGATCCAGCGACAGGACTCTCCTCCGTCTCACCTGCTCTAATCATCCGCCTCACCTTCTATTCATTTCCGCCTCACCTGCTATCCTCTTCCACCTCACCTGCTATCCTCTTCCTTCTCACTTTCTCTCACTCTTCCGCTTCAACTGCTACACTCTTCCGCCTCACCGGCTATCCTTTTCCGCCTCACCTGCTGTCCTCTTCCGACGCTCTTGATATCAACTACCGCCACACCTGCTATCCTTTTCCGCATCACCAGCTTTCCTCTTCCGCCTCACCAGCTATCCTCTTTCTCCTCACTTTCTCACTTCTTCCGCCTCACCTGCTACACTTTTCCGCCTCACCAGCTATCCTCTTCCGCTTCAACTGCTACACTCTTCCGCCTCACCAGCTATTCTCTTTCAATTCATCTCTTATCCTCTTCCGCCTCACCTGCTACCCACTTCCGTCGCTCTTGATATCAACTTACGCCTCACCTGCTATCCTCTTCCGCTTCGTCTGTTATCCTCTTTCGCCTCGCCTGCTATCCTCTTCCGCCTCACCTGCTATCCCCTCCCGCCTCACCAGCTATCCTCTTCCGCCTCGCCTGCTATCCTCTTCCACCTCACCTGCTATCCTCTCCCGCCTCACCTGCTATCCTCTCCCGCCTCACCTGCTACCCTCTTCCGCCTCACCTGCTATCCTCTCCCGCCTCACCTGCTATCCTCTTCCGCCTCACTTGCTACCCTCTTCCGTCTCACCTGCTATCCTCATCCGACTCACCTGCTATCCTCATCCGCCTCACTTGCTATCCTCTCCCGCCTCACCTGCTATCCTCTCCCGTCTCACCTGCTACCCTCTTCCGCCTCACCTGCTTTGAAATAAGATTTGTAATATCCAGTACCTAATTATCCTGATGAAAAGGTCGATGCTACATTTGAGACGCACCTCATTTAAAAATAAAAGGAATTGAAATCTTTGTGAGAACATCTCGACCTTGAGAGAGAACCGAAAAAAATTGTGGAATATGGAAGCGCCAGTCGTGCCGATTATTATTGGTGCACTAGGAGCGACTTGTGAAAAGAAAATTCTATAAAGAAACAAGTTCTTGCATCCAAGTAAAAGAGAGGAGAGTTCTGGAATTTCGATGAGTCTTGCTGTTATTCAATTTCCCGTTAAAAGCAAATTAATAATATGGTTGAAAACTCAATGACATTGACATTCGAAATGTTTATGGCTTAGATCAGGGGTCGGCAAGCAATTTTCACTGGCACGCAGCCGCAAATGATATCATGAAGTCCGAACCAATAACTACTAGAGCGCAAAGAAGATATTTAGCTGTTTCAATTTTAATATATACTAAAGTATATATATATACTATATATTATTATATAAAATATATTATAGAACTGGTATATTGACCTTGACTTGTATACAAATACGTATGCTGTTGGCACACTGAATGATTTTAAAACCCTAAGTCGGCTCATAGTTAGCAAAAGTTTGCCGATCCATACTCAACAATATCATGCAGGAAACTTATTTGGTTTGATTGAAAAGATTATGACAAAAAACATTGATTCTGATATTCTTATGAGGGCATTTGAATACTTGCTTCCATTTTGTTCATTATATCACATGATTCAGGATGATTTTAAGTCACCCAATGTAAGAAAATAACCAGCTTTGATATCAGAAGTTTCAAAATTAGATGACTTTAATTTTCTTGTGATGTTTTATCTGAAAATCAGAAAAAGTGCATTCTTTTAGTTAATAAAGTGTATATCAAGGTTGCTCTACAACAGGGTCCGGCAACGTACAGCACGTGTGCCATACAGGGCACGCCAAACAATTTCCAATGGCACGCAGCCTCAAATGATATCACGATATCCTAACCAATAATTACTAAAAAGCAAAAAAGATATTTTCCTGTTTCAATTTTAATATATACTAAAGAATGTATATACTATATATTACTATATAAAATATCTTGTAGAACGGGTATATTGACCTTGAGTTGGCACACTGAATAATTTTAAAAGTCAGCATATAGTCTGCAAAAGATTCTCAACTCCTGACTTAGATGGCGAAACTCTTAAACGATTTTGTATATATTTGGTGTTTCGTTATATGTGTAGTGGATCTCAGAAGGACGCGTGAATATTTAAGATTGTGCTGTAAATAAAATATTCAATATCCACAAACATAATTTATAAGAAATGGCCAAATGTTAACGATATTCAATCACGACAAAAAATACATGTTTGAAACAACAGATTAAATTTTATATACACAATTTACAATTTCTTTGTTTGTAATGATGTGTGCAAAAGTTATTTGCTGTTTCAGAAATGTTCAATGTCTAAAAACTTGTCTGCTTTTGATTGAAAGGTTGAATTTAACTTAGACAAAAGATTTTTCTATGAAAGATATTAAGTGAAAAAGTTTGTTGTCTGAATTTTTCCAATCTCTCATAAAAAAAGTTTGTTTCTTTGGCAGCAATTTTGACACATAATTCCCGTATGTATCTTTGCATGTGTGAGTCTCAAAATGCGACGAAAATTCGTTTGCTGTTTCTATTTATAGTTTTTTTTAACAACAAAATCGGCTCCAGCGGCTTGGTAGCTTGTTGAGAATTTTTCTGAGAAATGCGTTGGAGAATGTTGTATTTTTATTATTTTTTTAGCCAATAGGATTTCTTGAAACATTTAAATTAGGGATGAATTTGAGAAAGAAATTTTTCATGTTAGTTGAACTTATTTTTGCACAAATTTTGACTGTTTTGTTATGGATATTTCTCGAAGCTTATTTTTATTTAACAAGCAATGAAATTCAAGAAAATGTTTAAAAATTGAAATGAGGGTTACTAAATATGTACTAACATGTTTAAACATATGTGAGCACAATGTTTGAGATGCTATAGTATATACTAGAATGATCGACTATCATTTTGCATACCTGTATCCATACGTGCAAACTTTACATTGCGAACAATCACACGGAGCGAGGGAACATGACACGTGTTCTTTTAAATGTCACTAGATGTGCCTTTGAACAAACACATAAGCGTATCTACCAGTGAAACCTCGTTCCGTCTCCTACGCACTAAAATGGATCCTAATCCCGTCACAACCACCTACGAATCAATATTCAAACAGAATGAATTGCAACCAGTTCCTGTCTAAGTTTCTGGGATGAAAAGTTATTAATATTTACATTATTTACATTTGAACTAGTATCCTCATCTTTGTTGGTTTTATCATTACGTTTCGATCATTCTGGTCTCCGACCATCTGAATGTTACTTGGATGACAGTCTCAGCAGCGAATAGAAAAAAAAATATTTTTTAGTAGATATCGTTTGCTGGGCGTGATAATGTAAGATCTATTATGTAAATGCATTGCTAATGACTTTTGCTATAGAGATGCAATGTAAAGGATTTCTATAAAATATGTGCATTGTTATATATGCCTGAATCTCATCTTTATTATCGCGTTTGAACCTCTTTTTTGTCACGCCCTCTAGACTTCTGAAGGTTGCCTGGATAGACATGTAGATAGAATCTGAAGAAGGCTGGAGTGTACAATGGCCGAAACGTTGTGATAATATCAACAAAGGTGAGGATATTAGTCCGAATAATATAAATAATGCAACCATTGTTTGAAATTCCAACGTAAATTAGCTGAGTGTATTTCAATGGTGAATGACAGCAGAAGACCACCAAATCAGGGCCAAACTTACTGACAATCACCTGCGAAACTTTCATTGATTTACATAACAACAGGAAGTGCTCTATGAATATATGTAAACGCTTTTCATTATATTTGCTGTATTAACTGTCTAGGTATATGTGAAACAATGTTTGGGATGCTATACTATACTTCTAGAAGGATCGTCTAATCTTTCGCATACCTGTATCCACACGTGCGGGCTTTTCAATGCGAACAAATACACGGTGCGAAGGAGCATGTCACGTGTTCTTTTAAATGTCACTAGATGTTCATCTATACAAACACATAAGTGTATCTATCAGTGAAAAACGTCGTCTCGTTTCCTACCCTCCAAACTGGACTCCCCCTGCCACAACCACCCCCATTGCCAGAGAGCTCCCCCATAGCTTTATACTGATCACAGTTCTTCCTGTTTTTATCCGCAGGTGCTTTGTCCCGCCCCTACCAACCCAATCTTTATAAAAAAAAAGTACCATTTTGCCCTCCCCACTCCAACAGCGCCAAAAGCCTCCACCTTCAGCAACTGCCACCTCATTCTTTTCAGATCCCTCCCCCCCCCACATCCCACTCTGAGAAACCCCATCGTTCTCAAATCACTAAGGTGAGTGTCAGATTGTTTTTAGTTTGTGGACTCGTCTTCCATTTCCATAGCAAACAGAAATAAAAACACACGATATTATAGAACGTGCAGCTGCTTTTTCATCTATCTGCATTTGTTTGTAGCGGGAATCTATCTATCTATCTATCTATCTATCTATCTATCTATCTATCTATCTATCTATCTATCTTTTCTCTCCCAATCTCTCTCTGTTCATTATCTATCTATCTATCTATCTATCTATCTATCTATCTATCTATGGTTCATTGTGTCCATATCTATCTATCTATCTATCTATCTATCTATCTATCTATCTATCTATCTATCTATCCCAATCTCACGCTGTTCATTATCTATCTATCTATCTATCTATCTATCGCTGAAATGTTTGTAATTCTTGTTTAAATCTCTATTATATGTCCAAAGATTAAAGTGTTCTCTGATTTCTGGCTGAGTTAATTTTGCAATAATTAGAAACTACATAATTACTTTCTTTCTTTCTTTCTTTCTTTCTTTCTTTCTTTCTTTTATTTATTCGAGGTATGTATGTATGTAAAAGCGAATGTTCGCGCGCTTATACATAACGCCTTTGAGAAGGTCGGGAAAACATCTTGAAGCAGATGTTGAAAATAAGATTAAAGCCGTAACGATTGCAGGTAACCTGTAGAAAAATGACGTTATGATTTTTTTTACTGTGCAGAGTGCGCTCGGCTGAGGGTGTGACAACGACGCCGTTTCCACACTGAATACCTACGCGCCTTTCTTTCGTGCTTTACGATTGGCCTTTGCCGAAATCCGATTGAGAAAAGCGCATTATTACACCAGGCGTTAGAGAAAGTAAAAGGCGCGAAGGACAACTTGATCGAACGGCAATCGATTTGATAAACGAGGAATATCATTCTTTGTGGCCTTGGCTCTCGGATTGGAATGCATCGGCAATAACGAGACATCAACCACTTGCTTGATCTACAATGGGCTCTTTATCGCCAAAATGTCTTTCACGGTCGACTTGACCAATTCAACAGAGTTCACTCATAGCAGGAGTCAAATCTGAATCACTCTTTTCTTTGCAACGTTGTAATGAAATTTTATTAAACTTTTATAATTCATATACATTCTGCACACTCTTTACTCCTGGATGTCGCTTTTATGAAGAAGACGTGGTCATAATACAGAAGACATCGTGTGTATATTAACTGTAACAAGTTGTGTTGTAGATAAATTATTTCTAATCAATTCAACTGAAAGTAAAATAAACTGTGAAAACATTATTAAGTCAACAGAACAAGTTTCAATGAAACAGATGGCCATTGATACTGAATGTGTTTATTTTATCGTTGACAAAATATCAACAATAGAAATGATTACATCTAGCAATTTCATCATTAAAAAGATGAGACCTAACTGCCAATCGAGTACCACGCTTCATGAAATAGGGATAACAAAGAGGAAAGTCTTTCAGAACAATTTCCGTAAACATATTTATAGAAAAAGACACAAGGACTCTACGTTACAGCAGTGGAAGATTTATTGAAGCCGAGAGGCCAGGTCAAAACCCATAACATCGCAAGGTACCAGGTCAGGGCGTGATAACTCTGTAGACAGCACTGTATGAAGGTAAATCTTTTTGCTTCTGATCTGTGTTACCTTAAAGCTAAAGATTGTTTTTGCAAGACCTAGCGAATGAGTGATAACTCAACGACAAAGGATTTTTAATAACTTTGCTTTTCTTTTCTTTAATAGACTTATCTTGTCTCTTGCTTTATTAGAAAGTAAAGTAAATCATTGCTGTTATACGTTTGTTCTTCAATGCGTTCCCTACAATTGCAGCCTTGTGTCAGACTCAGCTAAACAGGGTAAATATTAACGATGGGTAGATATCAAAGAATAAGAGAAAGAAGAAAAATAAAATAGCCCCGCTTTTATACGAGGAGGTTCTGAAAAGTTGTCAGCCAGACCAAGAAGAGATTCCCTAAAATATTCGGATATTTGATCAGATTTTGGAAAATGGGTCATAGCGCCAACTTTTCTGCACCCTGCACGCAGAAGTATATACATACTTCAAACCATTATTAAGTTATCTATCTATCTATCTATCTATCTATCTATCTATCTATCTCAGTTTCTTTCTATCTCTATTATCTATCTCTGTTATCTATCTATGTCAGTTTTTTAAAAAATCTATCTCAGTTTCTTTGCTATCTATCTATCTATCTATCTAGCTTGCCCAATTTATATACACACACGCGCATATACCCACTAACATGTACTGCGTTTCATTTTATTGTTATTGTTGGAATTGATTCAATAAAAATACCTTTCCCAAAACGTTCGGGTTGGTGGCAGCGGCCAATAAAAAAAAATTGGACTCGTGCCGATGAGTCGATAACGTTTATTAGATACGGAAGAGCTAAAAGGCTTAGCACTTGTCTGGGAGTCAGAAAAATGCAGACAGTCGAGAAGGACGAATATCTGCCTATTGTACGCATGCCAACGAGAGAGAGAGAGAGAGAAAGAGAGAGAGAGATGGAAAGAGAGAGGGAGATGGAAAGAGAGGGAGGAAGATTGGGAGATGGAAAGAGAGGTAAAAAGAGAGGGAGAGGAGAGAAGGGGAAATTGTCTGGGGGAAAAAGAGAAAGAAATCTTGGAAAGACTGGAAAATCGTTAAAGAAAGAGGGTTATCAACAAGTAAAGAAATAAAAGTAGAAACAAAGAATCAGAAATGGAGGGTGGGGGAAGGAGAGAGGAGGAGAGAGGAGGAGAGGGAGAGAGACAGAAAGAGTGAGAAATAAAAAAAAAACAGGAGAAAGTTGTGTTATGTTTAATAAATCTTTCAGAAAGAACAAATTTCGTAATTTAAGAAATTACAGCGTCAAGTGATGTGAAAGAAAGAAAAAACGAAATAAATAAATAAACTTGTAAAGCAAGCGAGAAAGAAAGAAAGCAAGAGTGAAAGAAAGAAAGAAATAAGAAAGAAAGAAAGAAATAGGAAAGAAAGATAGAAAAAAAGAAAGAAGAAAGAAAAGTAAACAAAAAAAGTAACAAACTTCTAAAACCGAGCAAGCAAGCAAGAAAGAAAGACGAAAGAAAGAAAGAAATATGAAAGAAAAGCAAAGCAAGAAAGAAAGAAAGAAAGAAGGAAAGAAAGAAAGAAGAAAGAAAAGTAAACAAGAAAAAAAGAAACAAACTTCTAAGGCAAAGCAAAGAAAAGAAGAAAGAAAGAAAGAAATAAGAAAGAAAAGCAAACAAGAAAAAGAAACAAACTTCTAAAGAAAAGAAGGCAAGTAAGCAAGAAAGAAAGAAGAGAAAAAAAGCAAGAAATAAAAAAAAAAGAAAGATCGAATGAAATTAAGATACATAAGCAAACTTTCCTTACTTCACCCTTTCAAGTAACATATGATTTATTCCCTTCTATTCTCCATCTATTTTCAACATTACTTTCAAATCTTGTCCTTGGTTCAAATCATTCATTTTTCTGTGGCTCTCTAATAAATTCGATCTCTTATGTTTGCCAACAATTTTCAATTGGATTCAAGTCAGGACAATGACTCGGCAGCTGAAGCACATCTACATTATTCTAAGTAAAGTATCCCCGTGTTACTTTAGATGTATACTACTTTGTGATCTTTGTGAAATATCCAACCATCTTCAACAAACGTTGCATCAAAGAGAAGAAAATCGCTTCCTGGACATCGAAAAATTGCAAATCTAGTTAAAAAAGGAAGCAATTCATTAAGACGAAAATGTATAGAAAGTGCTTTAATCACTAGAACATCCACAGTAAATTTTATATATTTATATTTATATAAAATATATAAATATATATTTATATTTGTATATTCATATAATGTATATTGATATAATAAATACGTATTTAATAAATAAATAATAATTTAATAAATAAATAATAAATATTTATATAATATATATATATATATATATAATATATATATATATATATATATATAGAGAGAGAGAGAGAGAGAGAGACGACTCTCTTGCCGAATTCGACGTATGAGGGTCAAGCAGATCAGTTCCTAGGAAACCCACAGCTCGATAACAGCACATGAGATTTGATTATAGTGGTGAAGGTTTCGTGCAGGACCATCCACACTTTTTGAAGGCCCGAATACAGAGACCTGGTACACTACAGGCCACAAGGTCTCCAAACGACCCTCCACAGGTTTTGAATTCAGAGTTGTCCATCTCCTAGACCAGTTGCCATAACAAGGCTATAGTACCCAGTTTGTCCTGCTATTTACCCATAGCTGGAGGGAGAAGAAGAGGATTCACACCTTTCCCAAGATTATTAGCACGTAAGCGAATGTATGGGATTCGACTGCAATCCAAGCCGCTATCTATACATACACACACACACACACACACACACACACACACACACACACACACACACACATATATATATATATATATATATATATATATATATATATATATATATATATATATGGGATATTTAATAAAAAAGCAATAAAAAAACTGAAATATAAAGAAGCTAACTGAAATCGGCTAGTCTATATAACCAAAAGACATAAAAAAAGAAATTAAATTTAAAATTTCAGCGTCCTCCCCGCACACAATCATGTGCAAGCGTAATCACATCAACGTAAACATCATTTTAGTCTGATGAAGTCCTAAAAAGAAGAAACGTGTCACACAAAAAATTATTTTTTCTCTTTGATAAAGATTTTCTCAAAATTTTATTTTGTGCTGTATATATATATATATATATATATATATATTTGATTATATGTATTTTTCTGATGCAAATTTTTGCTTCTGCTTTTTAGATCAAAGGCGATTAAGCTGGCTAAACAGATAATTGACGTTTTAAAGTCAACTGATACTGATTTTGACATTTGTCTTAATCCGGATTATAACATTCGCCGTGAATTCACCGCCGCCGACGACGCCTCTCCAGAGAATTATGTTTAAATTTACAGAAGAAGCCACAAAGCTTGTAAGAACCCCAGAATGAAGACAAACTTGAAATGTCCCTCGGAATGCGTTTTATCGAAAAGGACGAGTAAAATAAAAGGTATCGATCCATTTGGAAAGAATGCGAACAAAATAAGGGGTGGGGTGGTCAAGGATTATGTAGACACAGAACAAGGTCAAAGGTTACACCGCCCTGTCGGCAGGGATTTCAGAATATGCCAACTGCATCTCTTCAGAGGAGTAAGCCCAACCCCCATGAAACGTCCTGGATAAGACGATAAACTACATCCAGCAGCAAGGCCAAGGTTTTGAGGAGCGTGGTACCACCTCTTAATTTCTGGTGTTCCCAGGTCCGCCTTAACCCGGAGTGGTAGCACCTGTTAGGGTCCCACCTATGGGCAAATAGTTAACCCTGAAACTGGTATGAAAATGCTATGAAAGTGTAAAAATAGGTTTTAATACCAGCGATATATTTTTGTAAAAAATATTTCCAGTAATGAATTTTTGAAGACAAAATTATTACCAGCAATACATTCTTGAAAGAAAATAAATATTACTAGCAAATACCTTTTTGAAAAAATCATTACCAGCAATGAAAATCTTGCCGTAAAACAAAACAAACCAACATCTGTCTAATTTTTGCAATGATAACAGCAAAAATTGCAATATGAGCACTGGTAAAAATGTTTGCTGAGACATTAGGTTTATAATACCGAGAAATTCATACACAGATGTCCTCAATGTCCGCCATATTTATCACAACGTTTCGACCGTTGTACGCTCCGGCCTTCGTCAGATGGTTGGAATATCGAACTGAACTCTTTATTTCGCTCACTGGCGTAGACTGTTCTAGTCCGCATGCCATGTTTAATGAATGTCAGTTATCAGTTATCTACTGTTAATTTTCCCTCCGAAAGTTCTCCACTGCCTTAACCGGGTATTGAACTCACACTCAAGGACACATGGCATAGTGGATAAAGGCGTTGGTTAGATCCAGTGACAGGAAAGAGAGTGTGTGTTCAATACCTGGTTAAGGCAGTGGAGAACTTGGAGAGGGGAATTAAGAGGAGATAACTGATAATTGACATCCATTAAACATGGCCGGTGTAACTAGAACAGCCTACCCCGGTGAGCGAAATAAAGGGTTTAGTTCGATATTCCAACCACCTGAAAAAGACCGGAACGTAGAATTGTAATAAATATGGCGACAATAGTCCGAATGATTCAAATGGTGAAAGCAAACCAATCAAAGTTTATGAGTACACCTAAGCTTAACGATTGTACTAAATGCAGGTAACAATGTCAAGAACATTTTCAGGAATCAGCCCGAGTTATCAGATATTCTGATGAACATAAAGACAATTCGGTGATTACGTTTGCAGAAATGTTCAGTAGCAAGATTCAAAGAAAGAAAAGAAAATTGAATGTTCGTTAAAAAGACATTAAGATGATGATATTAACGATCTGTGCAAGAAATTATCCTTCAACTTTTATACATAGCACACTGGACAGTGTTCATAGATACGAACAAAGTTTGTAAACTCACAACTATTTTGCCGTTGTGCTTTTACCAAATATAACGAGTGGGAAGATTCTCTTTCTGGGGAGAATTATGCAGGAAAACCCTCCACGAGCACAACTTTCATCTCTATCGGTGGTAGACCTGTCTGCAACCTGCGTTTCGCAGATGATAGTGACCTTATGGCGGGCAGTAACAGTGAGCTGTAAAACAAACTCGTTGAAAGAGCAGGGGCATATGGAATGTAACTCAACACAGAGAAATCTAAGGGGTATGCCAGAACAACTTCAGCTTCCATACCATGCTCAAGCTCTACAAATCGCTGGTCGATCCATTCTCATTTACGGGTGTGAGATTTAGAAACTCCTGGCTGAGACATGAAAATTACCCAAGCGTTCGAGAACAAATGCTTGAGAAAGCTCCTCTGCATTTCCTACCATATCAAAGGGTCAAAAGTATTTTGGGCTGATAGGAATATCTCCTTGCCACTATTAAGGGTTGGAAGATGTAATTGTTTGGCCACGTCACACGGTATAGCAGGCTCTGCAAGACCATCATATAAGGTACTGTTGAAGGCGGACGCAAGCGGGGGCACGGCAACTCAAGAACTGGTCAGACAACACCAAATGAGTGGACAATGCCGGAAATCCTGAGAGTCACCGCCAACAGATCATCCTGGAGGAGGTTGCCTGTTTCATATGCCATTAGTTCTCCCCGACTATAGAAACAGTCATGGGACTAATGATGATGCTGCTGATGATGATGATGATAATGATGTTGATGATAATGATGATAATGATGATGATTTACGTCTCAAATAACAGTTGCCGGTATGTCTGCCAGAGGAAGGATATGCTTCCCGACAAAATAACAAAATATGAAACTATTGCAGCGGAAAGAAGACTCATCGAAAGCACGCTAGCGATTGAGTCCGACTATAATCCTTTCCCGTTGTTCGATTAGAGTTTATCGATATCGGAAATCGATATGTATTTAGACGATTGCGAAGTGTTTAATGCAGTGGGAAATGCTGATCGGGGCAAAATATAAAATTGAACATTTTGAGGGGAGTTTATTTGATCTTTCTTTCATCTGGAAAAAAAATGACCCAATGTGCCACACGCACCAAGTATAAACACTTGAAGCGTGACTAAAAAGAGAACTTTAAATAAAATGATGATGAACTTCTTAGACGGAAAGGAATACATCACTAAAGAAACGGTGAAATCATGCATCGAGAACTGCCATGTATTTTACAGCTGAACAACGTTCCCTAAATTCCCAGCTGTTTTGTCTGGCAAGAAACTGTGAGTTTACAATCTTTCTATGTACAATTGCCAGTCTTTCAAATGATAATTTCTTTTTACTGTTAATCTGAGATGGAAGACGTTACAATGAAACCTAAGTATGCTTGTAAAGTGGCTGTATCAGTTGCTATTCAGTTTGACAGATTTCTCTCAATCTTCTGTTACATTTTTCTTCTAGTTGCCGTGCCCCTTCGAGGTGTAGGCGATCACGGTTCTCCACAATTTCCTGTCATTTGTGGTTCCTTATAAGTTTTGTCTGTGTGTTATCTCTCCTAAACCTTGTTCGGCTATCCATTTACTCGAGCTCACTATTAGCCTTAGTTCTCTTTCTCCCTCTTATCTTCAATCAGTCCTATGAGTATCATATTTTCCAAACCCTCTTTCCTCATTATGTAACCTAGAAATTTCAACTGTCCCTTCCTGATGTTAAATATTGATGTCCTTTTTGTTTCCATTTTCTCTAAAGCTTCCTCGTTGCTCACATGTTCGGTCCATGGCATTCTCAGTATCCTTCTGTAGAACCACATTTCTATTGCTTCAGGTCTCTTTTTCAACTCTGGTGTGATTGTCCAGCATTTACTGTCATATGGGTGAATTGATATTATGTAACATCTCAGGACTCTTTGTTTCTAACGAAATTTTCCTGTTGCTTAATACTTTGCTTAGCTTTTGGAAGGCATCTTTGGCTATCACAATGTGATATAATGGAATATGCATACACCTGTGTTCCCCCCCCACTGGAATATGATTGGCTGGTGTCCGTCATAAATACACACGGACGTGTAGATACGACAGAGGTTAAGTCTATGACGACGCCCATTGGACTACGTCATTGTCTATTCTATTGGTCTACACTTATTACCTGCGACTACGACGAGTACCAGTCGATTACTGCTACCGTGTACTACTTGGTTACAGTAGCCAAACCCACTTAGCTACTTCGATCAAATATATCCCTTTCCGGGACATATCACAATGCACCTTCGGATTTCAGTGTCGCACTTTTAAAATATTTTCCAGATATTTAATTTGTTATACTTGTTTGATTTTGGTATCTCCTATTTGTAATTTGTATGTTGGACTGTTCCTTTTGATAGCAACCATAATTTCCGTCTAGTTGCAGTTGATACTTAGTCTTTTCTTCTCGCCTTCCTTCACTACATTTTCTTGGAGTCATCGTAGTTTCTTTTCCGTCTCTTCTATCAGCACTGTATTGAAACAGTTAAATAGAAATCATAATGTTGCAAATGTTTCGTGAATTTAGTGTAAGACATCCTTGTACCATACGTTGTCAAATACTTTTGCGTAATTTATAAAGCATAAGTGCATATATCCTTCTCTATTTGTATTGTTCACTTTCTTTCTCTTTAACTCTCTCTTTCTCTCACTCTCTCTTTCTCTCTCTCTCTCTGATATCATTCTGATCATGAATATCACATTTCTTGTTCCGGTGTCGTTGACACAGCTGCACTGGTCTTGTCCTTTTTCCGGTCTAATTCCGATCCGTTCTTTGTTCATCAGGATTCGCATCATTAGTTGGGTTATGTGGCTCATTAACTTGATTGTCCTCCAGAGTTCGCATTCATTTGCACCTGGTCTTTTAGGCAATGTTATGAATATTTAGTGAAGTCTATCCGTATGTGGCCACTGTTGTCTATTTCGTCCGTATTATGTTGTCAATGACGAAGAATCCGTCTACAGTTTGAGATCATTTCTGATACGATCCCGTGAGGATCTGCCTGTTTTCAGGGTTCTTAGCAAAGGGAGAAAAACTGCTAAAAGCCTCACAAAATAGAAAGCTGTGGAGGGTCACTCTCACACTGAATCAAATTTAATGCAGACAGCAAGAGAACACGAATGAAGGGGACATATGTATAACCCATAAGCTTCATGTCCATCTTTCAGTATTTCATCTTTTCTGTATATTCCGATTTGTCAATCACTACATTTGCATTACCTTTGTCAGCTGATAGTATGACAACATATGATGCTTTCATTCCTCTGTAGATTTCTGATTGCCAGTCTCTCTCCAGTTTTGTGATGTTTGATTTGGGTGGCTTAGCTTTCTCCAGTGTCTGTCTCACTTTCTATCTTAGTTCCGTCCTGGGTAAGACGTTAAACTACATCCGCGTCCTGGGTAAGACGTTAAAAAGGCCTCTGATCAGGAAGTTTTGAGTATCGTGGAGCCACCTCTTAATTGCTAGTGTTCCCAGGTCCACCCGGACCCGGGGTGGTAGCACCTGTTAGGGTCCCAGCTATGGGCAAATAGTTAACTATTACCAGCAATACTTTTATGAAAAAAATTATTACCAGCAATACAATTTTGAAGGAAATATATTACCAGAAACAGATTTTTGACAAAACAAAATATTAGTCCGACGATTATTTTAAGACATTTTTTTATGTTTATACGTTCTTTTTATAGATACAAATATTTAATTAAATGGAGAATTGTGGTTTAAAAACAGTAAAATCGACCTTGCTAACTCAAACGATCCTCTGTGGGTCAATCGGTAACAGCACGTCAGGCTATATAACGGTTCCGTATAGGATACAGGTTCGAAACATGTCGGAAGACGAATATTTTCTATGAAAATTTCTCGGACATTCAGGCCGGTAAATGTTGTTAATACTGTTTATTATCAACAGAGCATTTACTGAAATATTTGTATCTATAAAAAGAACGTATGAACCGATTTTGACTTTCTTTTCTTTTCTCAAACGTTCCACATAATTTATGATCTCCTTGTAAAAGGTGATTTCGACGTTAAGTTAGCAAGAGAGATTCTCACGAAGGATTGACAGGTTGACAGAATGATGGACTTGCTTTCCTTGTAACGACAAAATTAACATTTTAAGAGTTAGCTAAGGGTACGATATTTTTTCTGCTTTTGCATAAGTGATTTGATTTTCTATTTTTAAAAAGCGGAAAAGGCACAATTTGAATTATTTACGATATGAAAGGAAAGATAAATGCTCTTTTCATTCAAAACATACTGCGGAAATGAAATTGAAATATTCAGGAGATTTTGACTTCGACGAAGAATATATATATATATATATATATATATATATATATATATATATATATATATGTATAAAAGTGAACATTGAAGTCAACAGGCGACAGGCTGTTTCATGCTAGACGCAATCGGCCTGACGATTGTGTCTAGTATGAAACAGTCAATGTTGACTTCAGTGGCCACTTTTATATTGACACACGCTCTGTCTCCGATATTGAGCACTTTATCCCATAAATATAGCACACCTTAAGAGTATATTTCTTCATATATATATATATATATATATATATATATATATATATATATGTGTATTTGAGTAGAAATTCCTTTTATACAAATTTCATTAAAGACGACTAACATGGTATGGCGATTAAGCTTTCAATTTAATTTTTCTTTTTATCGTTCCACTACATGCCTATAGAAATGATTTACATTACACCTCTCTGACTATAGTTCCATTAGGACGTATTTAAACACGCACAAAAACCTACTAAACTGCATCCGTAACATACCAGTAGAAAATACAAGTACAATTGCCTCATCCACATGCAACAAAAGATTAAAAATAATGGAAGCACTAATAAAAACAAAAACAAAATCTCAATAACATTAAATATGAACACGGCCATAACGAGCTGACCGTGTTTGGAAAATAAAACATAAATTACACATTCAGTTAAAAATCAAAATCATTCGTGATAATGTCTAAAGGAATAGCTTGGATATGCAGAACTTTTGGACAGTTTTTACACATTTTGTGTCCAGAAAAGAAAATACTCGTACGAACACAAAGAAAATTTAATAAAAAGCCTAACTACAGTGTCCTGTCAGACGTCTTTAACAAAACTCATATATATATATATATATATATATATATATATATATATATATATATATATATATATATATATATAGTAAAGCCTCAAACACTAATATTCCATGGTTATAATTTATTACATTGGAATTGTAATCACGATCCAATTCCTCAGACTTACAAATTCAAAAAGAAATCGGAAAATATAAATCCGGGTATAAAAAAACAAAATTTTAATGAGAGTGTGGGAGTGGGAAACAAGTGTGAGAGGGAAATGTATGAAAGCTAGAGAGAGAGGGTGTAATAGAAGAAAGAAGAACAGGAAGGCCTAAAGGTGAAGGAGGGGATTAAAATTTAACAGAGAGAAGTTTTAAAGAGAGGAATTAAATAACGGTTTAAATGAGTGAGATACAGAGAAATAGGAATTATTTTTCGATGCATAATTCGCTACCGATTCGCTGACCTAAATTAAAATTAAAAAACAGACACCGGAAACGTGTGGATACATTTATGATGACACTACGCACAATAAAAAACGATGTGATCTAAACTTAAAATCGAGAAAAAGAGAGAGAGAGAGAGAGAGAGAGAGAGAGAGAGAGAGAGAGAGAGAGAGGGGGGAAGAGAATATGCTGGGGGAGGGGACTAAAAACGAAGGGTATTTATAATAGAACCGATGTATAATAAAGAAAATTTGACAAAACAATGATAATCACCTACAGGTTACAAATTTAACATAAACATATAAAAATTAACGAATATTTAATCTAGTAAGCACCTACTATTTATATGCCCAAAAACACGTATATACACATATGCGTATATACACACATACACAACAACATATCTATATTTACTCCCACATACATACATACACGTGTGCACATATATATATATATATATATATATGTGTGTGTGTGTGTGTGTGTGTATGTATGTATGTAACAATCGCTCATTTATACATGTTTCATTAAAGATTATAGACAAGGTACTAAGATTAAGCTTTTTAATTATTTTATTGTGTTCGAAAAAGTATTTTCTTTTCTGGACACAAAGTGTGTAGAAACTGTCCTAATGTTCTGTAATTCCGAGCGTTTTCGGCTATACTTTTAGCCATTATCAAGAATGATTTTATTTTTGCATTTTAATTGGGTGTATGGGTTGTGTGTATATTTCTAGAGTTATAGGCATGTTTTATTTTCCGAACACAGTCAGTACATCGTGGGCATATTTTTTATATTACTCTGTGTTCGCTTTTTCTTTTTTTTATTATTAAGGTATCGATCATTTTATTAAATAAAATGATTAATCGCAGTTCCTTGTCTGTAGTCTTTAATGAAACATATATAAAAGAGGAATTCCTGCGCAAACACACACAATATATATATATATATATATGTGTGTGTGTGTGTGTGTGTGTGTATGTGTGTGTGTGTGTGTGTGTGTGTGTGTGTGTGTGTGTGTGTATGTGTGTGTGTGTGTGTGTGTGAAATTTGACACTGAGGTCAACAACAGATGACCTCCAGATTTTATATTTACATAAGGTCTATTCCTGATTTGAGCACTTTCAACCATACGTATAGCATAACTAAAGACTATATTTTTAATATATATATATATATATATATATATATATATATATATATTAAAAAATATAATAAATAAAAATATATAAAATTTATATATATATATATATATATATATGTATATAGGGTATTATTTAGATAACGTATGAACAGAAATAGATTTAGAAAGAGTGACATATAAAAATTGTGAGAATTAAATAAAGATAGATAGATACTGCCATATGAAATGATGCACAAACATTTACACATACACACAAAAACACACATATATTCATATATATTCAAGGAGTGTTGTTAGTTTTGCTAATTTTTTTTCTGTTTAATTATTTTTTGTACTGTTTCGAATAGGAGCATTTTCTCCGAGCCTTCACATGTTGGGCACGGCTGGAATTCTCGTAAGCATCTATCTATCTATCTATCTATCTATCTATCTATCTATCTATCTATCTATCTATCTATCTATATATGTATGTATGTATGTATGTATGTATGTATGTATGTATGTATAAACAGCTTTTGAAACTCCATTTCGATGGTTAAATAAGGTGAGATTGATAGCAGGAGAGAGATGTTTGATAGAAAAGGCTTCTCTAATAGCGAGATGTTTCCGGTAATGTGATTTATATAGAATTAATTAATGTATCATAAGGATTTTTGTAAATTGTAAGTTGATAGATATTTTTTTTATAGCACTTTGATCTGATAAGCTTTACTTGAGGCAGTAGTATGTCCGATATAGATAATTGATTTTTGGCAAGAAACAAGATAGAAAATGGCTACAGAAGTGACCGAAAGCGCTTGCGACAATGAAAATTATGGAAAATCTTTGTACCCCCTTACTTCTACAAAAGAGAAAAATGTAAAAATGCTTGAAAAACTTACTAAAAATTAATTAAATCTTCGTTGTCTGCGTATTTAATGAAAGATATTCAAAAGAAAGGTTGTTACTTAAATATATATATATATATATATATATATATATATATATATATATATATATATATATATATATATATATATATATATATATATATAGTAATCTGTTGGTATAATCAGGCGAGTCCTATGAAAACATGTGAAATATGTTAAAACTGACTCATTAAACAGAGCAAATTTTCTTTTACAATTGGAATTAAGATACGTTTTGTTAATGACCATTTTTATCTACGAATTTTAGTTTTAAAATTCGCAGGATTTTACAAACATTTTATGGTATCAGTTTGTAGTGGGATACTGGTTACTTCTTAATTCCAATTGAAAAGTATATATATATATATATATATATATATATATATAGAGAGAGAGAGAGAGAGAGATAGATAGATAGTCTGACATATGAACACGCACAAACTTAAAAATAGATATCTAGATCGATAGATATGAACTCATATATAGAAATACTAATAGACGCAAACACTCACACACACACACATCTATAAATATGCAGATAGCGAGAGCTTAGTCGATAGAATGAAGAAATTGGTATAGATAGATAGATAGATAGATAGATAGATAGATATGAAGATAATGAGATAGATAGATAGATTACTGTAAGTGACACATCCATCTACGTCATCTATTTGCCCCAGTTTCTGCATATCTATCTATCTATCTATCTATCTATCTATCTATCTATCTATCTATCTATCTCAGTCTCTTCCTGCCTGCCTATCTATCTATCTATCTATCTATCTATCTATCTATCTATCTATCTATCTATCTATCTCATTCTCTTCATATCTATCTATCTATCTATCTATCTATCTCATTCTCTTCATGTCTATCTATCTATCTATCTGTGAATAACCGAATACTCTCGCCATACTTTCAGGAGTTCGAATCGCCATGATTCTCCTGACGCAATCCTTTTTAACGCCGTGTTCAGTACTCATTTTGTGCACACAGTCATTTAGAAGAAGAATCCTTGTAGAGCGTGACCCTTAATTTTGTCGCTGTATGCCAGCATCAAGCAAGAAAAATGTCCTATTTTTGATTCTATCGTTTCGGGCTTTTTCTTCATAGTAACCGCTTATCATCACATCTCATTCTATCTATCAGAAAAGCAGATCGCATCTGATGTCGCTAATAACTAACCATACACAGCAGCCCGCTATATTAACCGTAGACAGCCTATACTTTATCTTTTAAAATAATATACAAACGCATGTCTGCTACGCCCGTCTTCGTTCTAGTAATGCCGGCACTTATCGTAGGTTCTGATTAAAACTGATAAAAGCTAAATAGTACAAGATAATGTCAGGCATAAAGATAAGTAAAATAGTCGTATACTATTTAGAATGAAAATTGATATAAGTACTATGATCAGAATGGATGTTAGAAGATAAGAAAACGACTTGATCGGAGAGAGAACACTTCTGTCTTGCGTTTATCTTGCAATCACGGTGTTTTTGTTCGATTTTGTATATAACCATTTTCATCGGATATACATTGTGCTCAATTTATCATTAACGATTCATTAATTCATAATTTTCTATCTATCTATCTATCTATCTATCTATCTATCTATCTCAGTTTGTTCGTTATCTATCTATCTATCTATCTCAGGTGGCCATATCTATCTATCTATCTATCTATCTATCTATCTATCTATCTATCTGTTTCTCTCTATCTATCTATATCTATTTCTCTCTCTCTCTCTCTCTCTCTCTCTCAATCTATCTATGTCAGGATACATCTCTCCAAAAGTTATGTATTAGCTGTTTACAAACGACCCTAGAAAGTCTTTCTGATTAATTACGAGTTAAACAAATGATGTGAAATTTTTGTGTTCACAATAAAAGAATCAAGGATAACGGTTTTTTTTTCAATATTCCATGTCTTTTGTTGGGAAACAAATGAATAGAATATCAAAAATTCTTGTAAGAATTTCTGAAAACATTCGAAAAGTTGTTTTGCAAACAATTGGCAATATTTAGGATTTTTCGCGTTGAAATCATACTCTACGAATTGAGAAAGTGTATTTACTGCGTTGTTCTTCTATTATTACTAGTTCAAGTCTATCGCCATTAAGGGTTCTAGTAGGGGGTGCTGAAAAATTACTGGTGTGACCCACTTCTTAAAAAGAAAAAAAAATCAGGCCAAACATAGGATTATTTTTTAAAAGGTTTTTTAGTTCAGCGGTGATCATTTCAGTACCCAGTAATATTGCAAACATTACAGCTACTTATCTGATCACAACCTTTACGACAAGTTACTTTACTGTGGCCTTTTCATTAAAACCACCATCCAGCTCCATAAATGCCATTACCATCGACATCTTAGTTCTATCGTTTTGACTTGAGCAAATGGCAGCTTGTGTGAATACGATTCTTGCCAATTTAACCCTCGCTCAACTCAACACATTAGACCAAAGCGCATTTAGCCTAAAAAGAAGAGAGTGACCTACATCTGCCAACCATGATGGGTTTTGTAAGGGAAGTTTGGAGAAAGTTTGAAACAGAAGGTCACAGAAATAAGAAAAACAATGAGAAATGATGCGCTTCGATGAGGGATAAATAAAAGTAATATCAAAAATATTTTTGAGAGAAAATGAAAGATAAGAATAAATAAAAGGGAAGAAAAAGAAAGAAAGAAAGAATAAAAAAGGAAAAAAAGAAAAAGAAAGAGGATAAGAATAAATAAAAGGAAAAAGAGAGAAAGAAAGAGAATAAGAATAAATAGAATGGGAAAAGAAAGAAAGAAAGAAATAATAAATAAAAGGAAAAAGAGAGAAAGAAAGAGGATAAGAATAAATAAAAGGAAAAAGAGAGAAAGAAAGAAAGAAAGAAAGAAATAAGAATAAATAAAAGGGAAGAGAAAGAAAGAAAGAGAATAAGAATAAATAAAAGGAAAAAGAGAAAAAGAAAGAGGATAAGAATAAATAAAAGGGAAAAGAAATAAAGAAAGAAATAAGAATAAATAAAAGGGAAAAGAAAGAAAGAAAGAGAATAAGAATAAATAAAAGGGAAGAGAAAGAAAGAAAGAAATAACAATAAATAAAAGGGAAAAGAAAGAAAGAAAGAGAATAAGAATAAATAAAAGGGAAGAGAAAGAAAGAAAGAAATAACAATAAATAAAAGGAAAAAGAGAGAAAGAAAGAGGATAAGAATAAATAAAAGGGAAAAGAAAGAAAGAAAGAAATAAGAATAAATAAAAGGGAAAAGAAAGAAAGAAAGAGAATAAGAATAAATAAAAGGGAAGAGAAAGAAAGAAAGAAATAACAATAAATAAAAGGGAAAAGAAAGAAAGAAAGAGGATAAGAATAAATAAAAGGGAAGAGAAAGAAAGAAAGAAAGAATAAAAAAGGAAAAAAAGAAAAAGAAAGAGGATAAGAATAAATAAAAGGGAAGAGAAAGAAAGAAAGAGAATAAGAATAAATAAAAGGGAAGAGAAAGAAAGAAAGAAAGAATAAAAAAGGAAAAAAAGAAAGAGGATAAGAATAAATAAAAGGAAAAAGAAAGAAAGAAAGAGAATAAGAATAAATAAAAGGGAAGAGAAAGAAAGAAAGAAATAACAATAAATAAAAGGGAAAAGAAAGAAAGAAAGAGGATAAGAATAAATAAAAGGGAAGAGAAAGAAAGAAAGAAAGAATAATAAATTAAAAAAAGAAAAAGAAAGAGGATAAGAATAAATAAAAGGAAAAAGAAAGAAAGAAAGAGAATAAGAATAAATAAAAGGGAAGAGAAAGAAAGAAAGAATAAAAAAGGAAAAAAAGAAAAAGAAAGAGGATAAGAATAAATAAAAGGAAAAAGAAAGAAAGAAAGAGAATAAGAATAAATAAAAGGGAAGAGAAAGAAAGAAAGAGAATAAGAATAAATAAAAGGGAAGAGAAAGAAAGAAAGAGAATAAGAATAAATAAAAGGGAAGAGAAAGAAAGAAAGAGAATAAGAATAAATAAAAGGGAAGAGAAAGAAAGAAAGAAATAACAATAAATAAAAGGAAAAAGAGAGAAAGAAAGAGGATAAGAATAAATAAAAGGGAAGAGAAAGAAAGAAAGAGAATAAGAATAAATAAAAGGGAAGAGAAAGAAAGAAAGAAATAACAATAAATAAAAGGGAAAAGAAAGAAAGAAAGAGGATAAGAATAAATAAAAGGGAAGAGAAAGAAAGAAAGAAAGAATAATAAATTAAAAAAAGAAAAAGAAAGAGGATAAGAATAAATAAAAGGGAAGAGAAAGAAAGAAAGAGGATAAGAATAAATAAAAGGGAAGAGAAAGAAAGAAAGAAAGAATAAAAAAGGAAAAAAAGAAAAAGAAAGAGGATAAGAATAAATAAAAGGGAAGAGAAAGAAAGAAAGAGAATAAGAATAAATAAAAGGGAAGAGAAAGAAAGAAAGAGAATAAGAATAAATAAAAGGGAAGAGAAAGAAAGAAAGAAATAACAATAAATAAAAGGAAAAAGAGAGAAAGAGGCTAAGAATAAATAAAAGGAAAAAAGGAAGAAAAATTAAGATGAAAAAAATCAAAAAATGAATTCAAAGAATAATCAAAGAAAGAAAAAAAAGAAAAGAAAACTAGGAGAAAAGAAACAAAGAAAACCCTAAAGAAAAAAGAAGTGAGATAGAAAGAGTTAAATGATAAAGAAATAAAGAAAGAAAAAGAAAGAGAAAATGATAAGGAAACTGGAAGAGGAAGAAAAAAAGAAAAAAAAAACAGATCAGAGTGAAAAGGAATAAAAAAAAAGGATCGCGGAGTTTTGAAACGAGTAAAGCAAGAAATACATAAACAAAAAGAAGGCGGGGATAAATTCAACCAATCCAAATTTAGTCTAGGAGAGGTCAAGAAATCGAACCCTGGATAGGCAGTGCTAGGAGTACTTTTGTTCAACAACGTAAGTTACTGCAAAACGAAAATATTAAACTAAGAACTCGAGCCAAATTCTTAAATAACCCCTGTTCAGAGATTGGCAGCTGATCTCTCATCTGATTTAGCTCTAACAGCTCAATGAGGGAAAAACTGGCTGTTTACATTCAATGCCTCGAAAATCAATCGTAAATTACTACTAATAACGATAAATGGATGTCACTTCGGGGGAGGCTACGTACCTTGAGAGTCTATTGGGCTTTACACTCACCCATAACAGCAAGTGGAACTCATACATACGATCCATCGCTATAGATTCTGGAAAAAAAGGTCGGGTTCCTTTTACCGCTCCGGTAAGTACCCGTCTCCTCGCGCTATCCTCTACCTTTACAAGAATCAGATCAGGTCATATTTAGGCTAGAGTTGCCCAGTCCTCACTTTGATGTCTGCTAGTCTTTGTTGGTGACAAATTTGTAGTGAAAATTGGAACGAAAATAATCACCCACCTGATCGCAAACGGCAGCGCGTGAAAGGCATAGATCCCAAACCATCACCTCCAGAAGTCAGAAGTAACATACCAAGTTGGGGAACCTGTTTGGGTCAAACCACCGGACGGCCCGTGCACTACCAGATTTGGCCAAAAACGGGTTGACGGAGTAATCAGTCCTCAGACAGTGCTGGTCAATGGCACACCCCGCCATGTGAAAGACCTTCGCAGGCGCAACGAATCAGCCGTTACGGGGTAAGACGAAAGTGACACATCGTCTGGTAGCGAAATGAGGGTCAGAATGACTTGTGGATCGGAAGGCCAACATTCATCTGCACAGTCAGCGTCTGAGGAAGATACCAAAGATGAGAATGACCAAATTAGTGGGGATAGACGGAATGTAGGAAACATGACGGAAGAGCACCCTACACCTCTGAGAAGAAGCACCTGGAGGAAACGAGCGCCATCCCCATGCAATATTTGTGATCATGAGATCAGGGAGGAGTGTAGTGAAAATTGGAACGAAAATAATCACCCACCTGGTCGCAAAAGGCAGCGTATATGTTCTGCGTGCAAGGTTTATTTTTTTGACTGAAAAAAAACATGGCTGCCCCCAGCAAGCTTATATTGCGAATGGTCACGTATACTCACGCGGGCGGTCGCGTAAAACTACGGAAAGTGAATTCACGCATGCAAATGAAGGAAGGCTGTAAAGGGCATAAAAACGCCGAACACTCGTCAGTCAAGAAACAAAAAAATCTTTTGCAACATTGAAGAAGAATCGTGTAAAGGCGCAGGAAGGGATTATTGAGTAAATTGAGGGAGTTTGTCAGTCGTTGCGGTTTTACACCAGGCCCACCAAGTGTGTTTGTTCAGGAAGTTTGTCAGTCGTCGCGGATTTGAACCTTCCAGCCCTTCTCTCACAGACGGGATGTGGAAAGCCTCTCACAGCCCTGTCGTTACTCCCATTTTGTAGCGAACCACCCTCATTCCCTTCGTATTGAGATGTAAGTTCCACTCGAACAGCTTCTTCCTGCGAGCCACTGCTCTGTGAAATCGACACCTAAGAGGATGTTTCTCCGATCACTATAATCTCAGCCTGTTCAAGTGTAGGGTTAACCGTTATATTCCCCTCTTATCCGCATAAACTGCACCTTTTACTCTACCTCGAGTGCCCCCCGTGAATTGTACAGGATGAAAATCAAAGTAAAATAAGAAGAATCTAGACTTTCAAATAAATGTTCCAGATGATGTCAAACATGTTCAGAACCTTCCATGTCCAAACTATAGACAACCGTTTTCTCAGATCAATCGGTAAAATCGCTTAAATAGTATTAAAGTTTGGTTGAACGGACGGTCCTGTCTGCGTTCTTGGGGTGTGGTTTGGACCCGACCTCCAGATGGAGAAAAATTGGTCTGAAGTACAGGCAAAGGTCGACGCGGCCGGTCAGACTTGGCGTCGTCGTAGGTTGTCCGTAAAGGGCAGGGCGGAGGCGTGTGCCACTTACGCTTTCTTGATTGTCCTTTATCGCTTGGCTGTACTTCCTCTGTTTAAAGATCATAAGAAGCCGCTCGAGCGCTTGCTATCCGCCATTTTATAGAGGGGAGCAAGCATCAGGTCAATAGAGAAGTCTGTGCACAACGTTTGTGTCAGGGGTTGGGGTGCGGGAATGTCACACTTGGCGAGTCACAAGCTCGCCTCGAGGCTGGCTTTCCTACGCCGCTCGTTGACAGGAGATTCGATTATGGCGGGTATTGTAAGGGACGCCTTCTTTTTCGTTATTATCAGTCCCCCCCCCATCTCCCGGGTTTGGCGCCGTTGTATACCCCGGGTTCAATTTGATTTCTTCGTGAATGTTGATATGCCTTGACAATCATTCATCGGTCCAGTGACCTTTCTCGGCCGAGGAAGGTCTATTGTTATCTAGTGGAGGGGCTCGCGGAGGATCCACTACGTGAGCGGTTCGATTTGTCGGAGGAAAAGTTTCGTTCTTTCTGGTCTTGGGCGCCAGCGGCGGACTACCTCAGTAACCCTGAGTTTTCGCTTGCTTGGCGACTGATTCTGCCTCTCAGTGGCAAGGCCTTCATATGAGGCTTGGCTGATTTGCCAGACTGTGAACGGTGTGACCTTGGTTTAGAGGAAACGGCTTCGTCCGTCTTCTACCATTGCCCCCGGTTGCGCCCCTTATGGGACCATGTCGGCGATTTGACGGCTCGTATCGCTCCCGAAAAGCTCGTGCTCATTGATCTCGCATACTCGTGTGACAATGCGTCACCCCCTTATTCTGGTGTCAAACAAATGGTGTTTCTCTCGCTGCTAGCCACGGTGATTTGGACGACGCGACAGAAGGAAGTCTTGCGAGGCAACCGTCTTTTTCATCAGGATCTGATCCTATTTTTTGAGCATCTGCTCAAGATAAAGATAGATTAGAACTGATAGAAAACGCTTGCATTCAACAGTCTTTAGCGAAAGGTGGGTGACTGAGGTGAGCTTGATTCGTTTGAACGGGGCTAGCCTTCATTTTCTCTTTTAGGTCAATCTACGTCACATCGGGGTGGTTTCCTGTGGGACCCTCCCCTTGGTTAGGTTAGACAAGCTTTGTGTACCTAGTTAATGTAAGTGTTGTTCCTGGCCTGCTCTCGGCTGCATCTTTGTTTATGGTCCAAGTTAAGATTCCCAACCTCCCCAGTTTGTTTTGGCCCCCTTTTTATTCTCAACTGGGTCAGCTTTTATATTTCCCATGTCCGTATATATTTTCTCCTTCTCCACTCCCGTAGCGAGAGAGCCTCTTGATTTTGTCCAAGGGGCAGAATACAGCGGCCTCTCCTTTTTGAGGGTTGGACGGGCCCTACTAACATCAGTTATGTTTAGTTTACTTTGTGTTGATATTTAGTTTGTTTTGGGGTTCATTCCATCCCCTCTCATTCTTCATCATTAGATTTTTATATATAATAATTTATTATCATTAAATTTTTATGGCATGGGGCGCGTTTTGCAGGTTCCCCTTGAGAGGATGTGGTATTATGGTGTATGGAGGATTGATTGATTACGGACGAGTTTTTATGGTGAATGCGAAAATTGTAATGAGTGAATGGGTCGTGAATCGGATTAGCTAGGTATAAGAGAGTGATGACCAGCCTCAACCCCACCCCCTTTCGGCCTCATGCAATAATTGTATTTATTACAATAAATATCAATAAGCTGTCTAACTACACAGACTTTATACCGACCGGCGTTTGCCACCTGAATATTTGTGCTACTACTTAATTAGTTTATTTTATGAGCTCCATTTCTGTTATTTTACTTTTTCTTACATTCAATATTTTACTGACTGTTCTTTGAAAAGTTTTTAAATTTTTTTCTTTTTCAATTTCTTACCCTCCCCATTTTTAATTTTTCTTTTTTCTGCTATTATTCTTTTATTTTTAGCTTTTTGATTTTATTTTATTTTAAAATTAAAATTTTCCGTTTCTTTTTAAGTTTCTGTAATCCTCCGATAGAGTTTATCTGTTTTATTTACGTCTGACTTTATTTTTCTTTGTTTATTTTATTAAGTGTTATTGTGTTCTTTGTTGTTTTTGTTTTTCTTTCTTTGTTTTTTCCTTTTTAAATATCCGTTAAGTCTTCTGTGTTGTACTTGTTGAATCTTTTGTGTACATATTTGTTTTAATTTTCTTGTTTTTGCAATTTTTGATTAATCTGTCCGTTTTTGTTTTTCTTCATTAACAGGCTGACTTGGTTTTTACGGCAGCCATATTTGATTCTGTGATTTGTTAGTTTCGTATTATTTTCTTATTTTCTTTGTGTTTCTAGTCTTATAACTATTATTTTATTCTTGTTGTTGTTTGACTTTCTTAATGTATTTTTATTCCTTTTCGTGCGTGTAAACTTTTTTTCCTTTTAAATTTTGATTTTTTTGTATATTTAATTTTGTCCGCCTTTTTAAAAGTTCAACGTTTATTCTCGTCTGTATTTTGCGTAAGTTTTTGTCTTTTGCGCGCCCAACTGTCTTATTGTATTTGTTTTTTTTGTGATTTATTTGTTCTTTTATTTCTTTATACTTTATTTTGTAAAAGGAAAAAAAAAGAGGGAAAAAAGTTTTAAGTGTTTTAAAAAATGGCTCCCAAGAAGAACGTTAAAAACAACTTATTCTGGACTAAGAAAATAACGACTAAGCCACCTGATAAATCTAACGAAAATAAAATTACGGAAATGGTATGGTGGCCGGTAATGGCCAAAATGTAACGGAAAAGTTTTTAGCGGAAAAAAGCCAAAATGCTCACATTCTTGCTGAAAATAAGGAGGCCAAATCAGGCCAAAGTATCCAACATACAGAAAAATAATATGGATGCCGAAACAGGCGAAGACTCTTCTACAAGAAAATACCTTATTACAGACAATACCAACAAAGATGACAAAGTAGCGGTCGACCTCACCAAAATGCAGTATCAACATTACAGAGTTCCTGGAGAAAGCTAAAAATTACACACATCTTGTTACAAAAAATGGGCTCTTCACAAATCTTGAGGAACTACAGAAAGTTGAAAAAAGAATTCTGTCAGTCTTTATGGTGGACAAGCGCTCGCGCAAAATTTGTCGCTCCACAAAAGTCAACGTCATAAAATCGTTGATGTCTCTGGGGATTAAGCCACAGAGAATCATAAAAGGCAAAAGCTTCATGTGGGACATACTGTTACCCACGACTGCTGACCGTGAAGCGGTTAGCACCCGTGACCTTAAACAAAGTATCTTATGCTGATGACCGAATATCAATGTAGGCGTAGGACCAAATTTCAGTATATGAGATCTCTCCTCAATTTCCCGGGGAACACATGGCCTCTTACCTGCGCCAATTTTTTGCCGGATACTCAGTGCTTCCTCTGATGATCCGACTGGGAGATGGATCTTTGAATTAATGGTAGATCATAAGGACTTCGTCGTCCATCCCAACTGCCTGGATGTAGAGGGCCAGAAGATGCCGATTATAGTCACAGGTCGAAGACCGGCTTGCTGGAAGTGTGGGCAGACTGGTCACTTGTCCTCTTCCTGCCCAGAGATCAAGGCCTCTGGAGTTCTGACCCCCGCCGACCCGAATTCCCCTCAGGCTGAGTCTGTTGTTTCCGTCTCGCCTGTAATGGGCATGCGAACAGCCGGGACGGGTGGAGCAAAACCCCCAGTTAGGTCAGTCTCACGACCCCCATTCCCCGAAAAGTCTTTGCACGCCTCTAGTGCGGTTGTGGAGGAGGTAAAGGGGAATTGCAAGCTGTTGGTAAGGTTAGAGGGAAGCTCCAAACAGCGGATCCTCGTCCCAATGAAGCCCCAACGGGAAACGGCACAAACGGTCCCACTCCCTCTACCAGTTCTAAGGGTGACTCCTCGACCAGCTATTCGGAAAAGCTACGTCTCTAAC